CTACGCGATACATTAGCGTATCTCTTGAACGATTGTCGTTGAATTGTCTTGTTTCAATGTGCACCTTTGCCTTCCTTAACCTGCTCTTCTCCACTCCACTAGACGTCGACCAGTTGACGCTGATTCTTCAAGTGCTTGGCTACCCATCTGAAGGCGACAGGGAATGGATCGTCAACACGAAGGTCAGTTCATCCCATTTTGTGATATTTTCGATTTTCCCCACAGTGGTTCACAGTTTATGCAACGCCCACTCAATGTCTGTCGCCACTGTCTTGATCTCCGTAATGTGTTTATTTATTGCGAACTGAAGTGGCATTGAATGCGTATAACGCTGGTGCTCTCTGAGGAGTTTAGTATTACAGGGATTTGTGCAACAATTATTGCTGCTTTCTGAGCGTAGTCCGTGAATCGCTAGCATTTTACGTCACCCTAGACGAGATAAGTGTTGCGCCACAGGTCGATGGCGTAATTTGCGCAATTACACTCGTCTCGCGGCAGCTCTTGTTTACATGCCGTAGCTGTGGTGTTCTAGTCGCTGCGTTAGCTTCCTGTAGGAAAATCACATCTCCTAAGCCTTAGCTAACATTATTCCGCCCACTTATCGCCTCGCACTAGATTGGCGGTTACTACGAAATGCAGCCGATGCTTTGATTGGTCCGATATGCTGTACAACTTGAAGAATCATCTAAGCGTTTTACAGAATTAAAGTTGAAAGATGAGCATGAGTCCGTGCCAGCATTTCAAAAACGCTTCTAGTCGGATTATCCAACATAGAGGTAGCGTCGTCCTTTTTACTGACATTTTGCTACAGTCATGGAGAATGAGGAGGTACAAGTAGATGACTGCAAGCGTGGGTGGCGGTAGCACGAACATTACTACTACTGCATCAAATTTAATGAACAAGACGGTGATGTGGAGCCAGACACGGTAGGCTGGGATCCACACTCCGTAACAAAAAAACACTAGCAATTCCACCCACTGATTCACAGCCACACATATGGGGAAAATTTGGCATGATTAATCAAGGTAAACGAAAGTACACGCACAACAATCCACGCCAATGTCTAGGCGCTGCAACTTTGTGCAGCAGAATGTCTCCAAATGACCAATAATGTTGGTTTTCTGGGATGAGGCAATCGATAAGGGCTACTTTTTTCGTGAATAAGGTCCACAAAGGAGGTTCATATCTGTGATATTCGTGGATCTAGTCGGTAACCCCGACGACAATTATGAATCCGCCTGGGGAAAGTGCAATGCGAGACTACCGTTAAACTGGCAAGACCGGAAATTTGAGAGTTGTTATGGAGACCAACGATTAGAACGACGGAGGACTTGGCGGAAATTGTCTCGACTCGAGTGTTGTGTGACAAGACCCGCCTTCGCGATGACTCACGTGATGGGAATGGATAACCAGGCGATCGTGACAGCTGTTGAGGGATCAACTCATTGTTAAATCTAGTGGAAAACTACTTGTAAAGTCTCGATAAGTGTGTTTTGACTTTGAATCGTCACAACAAATCAACCGGACGGCAAAAGCCGGGTCCAATAGCGTAACTCATTGCCGCAAAATTCATTATTAATTGGTTCATTTGCAGATCCATGGAAACGCACCAAATAGTGGTTGGGATTTGATTATTGCGTGCGACTGCACATCGATTTCCCTACGAAAACGATTACGGCCTGTGTGTGTGTGTGGGTGTAGAAGCCTTAAAACGTAATTCGAATCGCATCAGAACAAACACACACAAGTGCCATTAGAGGCGTCATTTACGCAGTTGGTGTGAAAGCGCCTCCTCCACGTCGAAGAAGAAACCCAGTACCTCCTCGTTTACTTTGTTCCAATTAAGACTGGACAGAAACTCGGAGATACAAATCGAAAAACTTCACCGGACACTCTTGTGGATGCTGTCGCCGCATCTGGAGACGCAACGACGACACTACGACCCATTCACGGGGAGAAATTCAAAGTACGAGGAGCTGCCAACAGTTCCTCTTTCTCTCTATTTTCGATGAAAAATGAACTCCGCCAGCCACAGCGAACCCGCTACGAAATCTTGTCAATTTCAAGAAAATCGTGGACAATCACAGCCGATAAGAAAATGCGTCACGTGCGCTTACCAAACATTGCTTGCCTCGTGCGTACCTCCCTTAGGGAGGTCGGTGATCACTTAAAAATCCATTAGGCAACCGCCAAAAATTACCCCACATTATCGTGTGGTCATAAAAAAGCGTGCATGACCCAGAACGATGAAGTGCCAATCACATGTTTTGACAAAAAAACCCTTAATTAAAACAATTTTTTTTTATGTTAATTAGGCAAAATCGTTTGTAAGTGTGGAGGCGCGCTATAGTGTGTGATAGTACACAGTTGCCAGAAAACTAGAAAAATGAAACACAACACCAGCCTGCAGTGTTAATCCAAGTAAAGTGCTGTGCAAATCCACGATTTGTCATCAAAATGTCAACTCTGAGGCTAGACCAATTGGTCACCTGGTTCCGGGTACGTTAACTGACAACGCTTTTGACATTGTGCCCTGCGACACAGCCCCAAGACTATTCTGGACAATGTTGTCATCGATTTCTTCGACAACGGTGCCTCCACCTGAGAAAACGGCCACGACTGTGCTTACGCCGTTCCGCACACCTGGCCTCGTTCATGTGTCTTGGACATTGCGTTCAGTTTTGAAATCCTTCTGACACACAGCATTTCGGAGCAGTCGATCTGGCTTCAACCAATCAGCCACGGTGGTTGGGGATATGATAAACCAATTTCTCCAGCGATTACCTCCTGACAACATTGAAAGACGAATTCGTTCATTTCCTTCCACGGACCTGTGTGTGCCTGAACACCACCAGTGCAGCGCTTCGTCACGGTGCGCCACGACCTCTTCTTGTGGCAACGTTTTGAAGTCAGCACGGAATATGAAAGGTGGCAGTCACAACGCGGAACTCAGGGACGAATAAGGGAAAAAAGTTCCCTGCAAAAGAGTTATTCGATTTAATCGAAAACGTGAAACAACAGTCACATTTCGCCATTTAGAACGACTGCCAAATGATGTTTCAATAGTTTTTTTTAATGACGCACATCTAAACTGATTGTGTGGTGCTTGGAATCAGTTCAAAATGTACTACACCACTGTGGTCCCACCAAATCGACAGCTCGCGCTAATGCGAATTCAAATGCGGCAGATCTCGACGTGGTTGGCATTGGTCAATCGCACTTGAACCTTGGCCCTTTCTGACGCATCCTACTGTAGACGTCGTACCAACGATGAATCTTACCAACGTGGTGTGACCTTATTACCAGCATTGACTTGTGGTATCGAGTGGAATTATTTCAAATCATGCCAAAACTGCTGATTCAACTAACATTAACCAGGTCAGTAGGCTAACAAGAACAACGCTGGCAAACCTAAAATGAAAGTTTTCCAGAAGGCAAGTATTTTAAACCAACCCCGCCGACAAGTGGGTTCACCTAGCACGTCTCGTTAGGTCAATCGCGGACGATTTTTGCCACCGCGGAAAATATGCCAAAAAAGATAGTTTCTGCATCAATCCATTTTAAAATTAAACTCTAAACTACCACGTGAGGGGGGTAGATTCGATTACGGAAACCACTTTTTGCCAACCAATCAGAACTGTGCAAGTGTTGACGTTTAACCAAGCCCCACTGTATCAAACATACAGCAGGTTTCACATGTACTAGACACTAACATAATCCTATGTGACTAGGACTGCGAGGTGGTGGATTGAAGGCAAAAAAGCTTGGTAATGCAACCGTCTGGGTTTATTCCACTATGCCAAATCGCGCCATCTGCATGTCATCTTGGGGTTAAGCATACCTGAGGGAATGTTGTGTGTGTACAGGTTAGCGATGCCGAAATCACCGATACGGTGTGCATATACTCGCGTAGTAGCGACAAACCGAGCGCAACGCTAAGTGGATTCGACAGTTGGTATGACGGTGGTGGTTGTCATCGAAGCAAAGAGAGTGAACAATGAGGCACCATACGAGAGCTGATTGGAGAAGTCAATAACCTCTTTCGCAAAAATCACAAGTCTTTTCGGCAAAATTTAAGACTTTGTGATGTCTCGTGGTATTAGGATTTTCACTCTTTCAGGTCGTACAAAACCTTGCAGTGACTTAATCAAAGACGGGACAAAGAAGCGATCTCTGCATTTATCAACAAAATTTCCTCACGTGTTCGACAAGATGGGATGACTTTTGGGAATTCAGATTGCTGACTAACCGAACGATGGCGCATTAGTAAACGCTAGTGCATGTATGATTAGTGTCTGATTAGGGCCAATTCAACTACACGATTTTAATGCAGGTTTTAGCGCGGCCTCATGACGGCAGATTCGCCGTTCAAATATTTTTTGGCATCCAACCTCACTCGCAAATTTGCCTCATCGCATGTAACGCCAATCAGCTGATCAGCAGTAATAGAGCCACTGGAAGCCCAACAGCTACACCAGAAAAACCTGAATGAATTTTAATAAACTGAAAAAGGAGTGCATGTCAAGTGAGGAGGAAGAGGAGAGGTCGAAACTGTGCAATTTTATGACGATAGCACAAACACTCAACCTGTTGGATTGCCAGAAAAGTGGTAATGCATAAATTGTCGCAAACACGAATGAATAAAGAGGATAAATATTTACGTTTAGAAGACAAAAAGGGGGGCCAATTTTCATTCGAATTAGGATTTAGGAAAAGCAACCACGAGAACATCAATGGTCAGAAGCAGTACATGACTACGTAGTCTTTAATCGTGTTACAAGAAACGAACACATGAGACTACAAAATTACAATTTAGGCGCACGACTAAAAGAACGAGACTACATGCATAATTGATGTAGAGTTCGTATAGGCTATTAAGCTATCCCGGAAATACAAGTTGATGTTTCCAATACCTCCAGATAAACTTCCAAAAGCAAGAATACGATTATAAACTAACACGGCATGCAGAGCACGAGACTTAAACGGTCAAAACGTTTCCGAGCAAGTTGACAAAACAGGGTTAAGTGAGCTTCAATAATAACATTTCCCAAGTAGAGTAAAAGCTGACATACCTTAAGGTCGCAGTTAGCATTGATCAATAGATTTGATGGTTTTAAATCACGATGAATCACATTGGCGGAGTGAATATATTTCAGACCTAGACAGATAAATCTGGAGCACGTACGAACCTTACCCCGCAAAATTTGATAAAGAAAATAACAAATATGGTCATTTGATATAGCTTGACTTTTCAGTAGCCGATACAAATCGGTATCCATACAAGTCTGAACAATGTAACTGAACCAAAGATAAGAAGGTATCAGAAACCTTACACGTCTTTCATTGTCTCAAGCGTATCGCCGACCAGTATTACATCGCGAATATCAATAATCTGAGGGAGAAAAAGACATTATAAAGAATGATATAAATTGATATATTAAGGAAAATATATCTGTCCCGACAGTTGCTGTTAGCATACAAGATATCAAACCGATAGCCTTCTAAATTAGTGCATTAACCAGCTACAGTCAAAAAATATGGGATACAATTATTACTTCCTTGAAATAATTAGAGCCAGACAGGGCATTCAAAATACGCTCCCATGACATAACTGATAAAAATTGATGAATGAAGATGCAGAAAGGCTTAGATAAGTTTAGAGTTTTAGGGATAATGTTCAAAATTAGACTTACATTCTCATGCTTAAACCGGAGTAATATCTTGACTTCTCTGTAAGTTCTCTGGCAAAACGTCTGATGCTCAAAAGGGGTTGATTTTTTGATTGCAACCCGTTCCCCTGTTCGAATATCAATTGCTGAACTAAAAAGGAAATAAATTGAAAACAAAATGTACGAGACAATCCCGTAAGCTCCTTCGCCCAAAATTTTGAAGTCAGTGTAATTCGGTCCCACCTCAAAATTGACAGATTTTGATGGTGATCTCGAACTGGTGGTCATATCTCTGTTGAGAATGCTCGAAAAAAACAAGACGTTTATTAAAAAGGCCGCAATATTTCTACCAACTGAACGCACTTTGATGACCTTGACAATAGATGACAGAACATTCAAAGCTTCTTGACCAGTGAGTTGTAGAATTGGTATAAGAAACATTACCTAAATTAGATGCACTACAGTTACCTTCGAAGATTTATGTTAGCCTAGATCACTATCTACACAAATCTTTAAGAGAGAATTAATTGAATTTGTTTTCCTTATTCAAATGAAAATTATACCTTGTTTTATGCTTTAAGTCACTTATGTACAATAATGCATAAAAAAACTTATAAGTACTGGTATGCTAATTTATATATTACTCAAATCTTAATTTGTTTTTTTTTAACCTTAAAAGAAATTTGTTCCTAAATATTCGATGTATTCCTCACTCCCTAGTGCACAACGCAATGGCATCAAACTTTGCGATCAAATTAAAACCTTTTGGACGCTTTATGCCATATTATGGATTTTATCGGCATTAATACAAACTTAATGCGTAAACATTGAGTACTAATCGTGTTTGATTTCATGCAATTGTGTCCTATTAAAAATGCAACTGGAAATTTTTAATAAGTATTTCAAGCAACCTACATAACAATGACTTTAGCCGGATTTTTCTTGCTGAACTTATGTATTTGATAAAAATGATTTAAGTTTGCAGTTTCTTTACATAGCCATTGTGTTTTACCTATCTGCTTAGCATTGAAATTGTACTAGTATTTATTTTTTAGCTTGATAGGCCAAAGAGTGCACAGTCGAGCTTGAGACAATGTAATGTTTTTACTCAACTCAAAGCAACACAGGGCAATCGATTTAATGGCTAAGTACCAAATTTCTGTATAGTTCAGAGCAAATGACAGAGGAATCTATTTAATGTGCCAACTGCAGTTCTGCAAAGAAAAGGTGCTGGAAACTAAAACATTTTATCAGTTTCAATAAATAAACAGATTTTAAATTTGCTAATAAAGTACACCATTTGTCGCAGCCATTTTGCTTAATTTGCTTGATGGTCCATGGCTGAAGGCTGACGACTTCCAAGTTTTAGTCAGGTTGAGCCAACAGGCGCGAGCCTGTGAAGCCGCCGTAGCGCTTCTGAACTGAATTCTTGCAGAAATCTCGAGGTGGTCGTCAAGAGATTTCCAGTCCGACGGCACTTTAAATGGGCAGAATACAAAGGAAAAAATTTTGGCTTTGATGCTTTTCCAAGATTTGCACAAGACTGGACTGATATCACCAACTCCATGTTTCGTTAACTCAATATGCGAGCAGGCAAAGCGTCAAGGAACAACGTAATCATCCTGCTGCACCTCTCTGGTTGCTCTGCGTAGAACGTCACCATATTAACACATAAACAAATTTCCTATCCTCTAATATAAAATAAAGGTTGTCAGTGGTTTAGGAGCTGAAATTTCGTCACTGATGTTTGAAACAGGACTGCCGATTGTTGTGACATAAATGCATAAAGGTAACCCCATCATACCCAACCTCCAACCAACGGCAATTAGAGCCGGAAGTTTAGGATAATCATATTAATGAATATATCTGCTGTTCACGGGTTACTGCACAAGTACATGATCCCAAGTCACACTATCAGGATTTGATCTTCTAAGATTTTAAAGCAACACTGGTTCAGAATTTGGGCCAGACGACTGTGTCTATTTTGGGTCTAGCAGTGTCAAGTGTCTACTAAGGATGGAACGTCTATGAAATTCATTCGAGTGTTTTGTCATATATAAGGTATAAGCATCATCGACCCAAAAAACATAGAAGGATTTTGTTAAGGTTCTTGGAACTAGCCTCGAATTACCATCCACCCAACTCAACAGGCACTCGCAGACAATCACGAATTACATTTAAATTAAAGAACATGCGTAATATACAGGAGTGAATAGGTTCATGATTAAGTCTCGAAGTTCTTCGAAAGTGTACCATCTTCTGGAAAATCTGACGACAACAAAACCACGGAATAAAACACATGCATCCACAAAGTCTGTTCAAATTTCAATTCAGGCTAGCCTTGGTTTTGGTGAATTTCGCCTTAATTCTGATTTATATGTTGAGCCAGATTATATTCGAAATTTAAAACAGTAAACAAGAAGTAAATATTGATGCCACACTCCATTAGAAAGACGGAGCAGTGTTTCGGTGAATATTTAAAACATGCTGGCGTTTGGTATAAGCACAAACGTTTGTGCCAATTTTTAGTTGCCGAGCTTTGAGAGAGGTTTAAATAATGAAAAACTGTCTCAAAACTAAATCAATGATCTTATGACCACGCGTCACAATAGGTTATTTATTTACGGCTTGAATTCATAAAGGAAAATTTGACGTGGTGGTTTTCAGTTACTGCTAAAATTACGCTACGCTCGGCATCAGTTTGGGCTAAAATTGTTTTCAATAACGTAAAAGAGGAAACTAGATTTGGCGCCTAGTTAACAGTTAATGGTGAACCCTGTCATTTCTGGAAAATACATTTGGCAGCTCAAAGTCCAGCGAGTGATTTTGTGGACATTTATAAACTCACTCCTGGTACATAGTCAGTCTAATCTCTCGCTAGAATAACCAGATAAAAAGGAGAGTGCAATCGTTGAGGCCGTTCACAATACAATATGTCCATTTCCAATGAAAGGGACTAAATTCACCAGAAGAAACAGTTTGCTTTTCTACTAATTTAAATAAATTGTTAGATTTTATTAAACATTTAATATATATTCTCTGAGATTGCATCCTAGCTTAGAACGAAGCGATAGCATCGGATTTTGTCAGTGGCTCAAATGCCAAATCAAAATGAAAACCATTTGCCAAGTTCATTATTTAAAGTATTTTAGAAGGCTGCAATCATTAGGGTTTATCATTAGAGTAAAAATTGCAGTTTTTAGGTCTTTAAAGTCTTTCCCAATCTAGGATTGGAACTTAACCTCAAATAAACGATTTACTCTTGTTCAATTAGCCAGCAATCGGTAGTTTGTGCATTTATACTTATTTATTCATTGTATTTAAAAAATTAACGAAACTACATGCCATGTTCAGATTGGGAGAAAACCAGAATTTTTTGTTGATTAACTGTCATTTATCACTATTAACTATAATAGCATACTCCGTGGAAGTTCATCCAGCACACAGCCCCGGGATTTATTTAATTCGAGTATGCAGCTATCAAGCTTAAACCAAAATTACACTATGATCTCCAAAAAAACATGGGACTCTTAGCACAACTACTTTGAAATTAGTATTTTGCACGAGGAACAATTACCGTTATTGGCAGAAGTGGTTGCGATTTTTTTGGAGAACGACCCCGTCATAAAGTCATAAGCTTGCAATTGTATTTAAAATTCACGCAATTAAATGCGCGAGAAAAACTGTTGAATTACATTTTTACTCTCTCATGATTTGTTTGTCTCAATTAAACGGTTTGGTGATATCAAGGAGGGTAGACGAAATTGGGGCTGTCGCTTTTCCTTTATTGTTGCGGCGATAGTTTTGACATCATTTTTTGCAGTCGGTTATACACATTAGTCTGACAACAATGCCGAAGTCGAAAAAAGGCACAGAGGAGTCTTCGACCACTCCATCAGGTTCAAGCCAGCCTGTCGAATCATCAAAGTCGAACAAGAAATCTTCACCTTCCTCCTCCAAAAAGAACTCGGATATCATTTCATATAAAATAAGGATGCTCGATAGTGATCAACCGCCGTTAGAAATCTCCATTTCGGTAATGTTTTACGACGGTTTTTATGTTATAGAAAAATGACAATGGCCAGGTATTGTTTAACAAGGTTTGCGATGAGCTGGGAGGAATCGTTGAACGCGATTACTTTGGCCTAAGATTCATGGATAAGCATAACCAGAGAGTTTGTTCTTGTGTTTATGACGACGTCTTTTTAGCAATGGTTGGACCTTGGTGTAAACGTCAAAAAACAGATGACTGGGTCACACTCGTCTGCATTGAGTTTTCGTGTTAAGCATTATCCAGGAAACCCAATATCAGATTTTCACCAGGAGATTTCCCAGTAAGTACTCTTCTGTTTAGCCATGAATGCATGACTTTTGTATTGAACCCAGATTCCTAAATTACCATAATTTAAAGGCCAGTGATTTCTTGGTGATTGCAGTATCGAAAATTGATGTGACTTACACAACTGTCACCAGTTATGACCGTAGATGTATTCTGTCGAGCTCTGTTTCATGAATGGTTACTTGCTATTAGAATGTTGCACGTCAGGCCACCTTGTAGAATAGAGCCGTAGCTACTCGTGCAGCTGATATTCACTGTATTTGTTTCAGGTACCTTCTTTATCTTCAAATTCGCCGTGATCTCGTACAGGGTCGCTTGCTCTGCCCTCTGAGTGAACTGTACACCCTTGGAGCACTCATTCTCCAGTGTAGGCTATTGTTCCTTGCTGTGTCTTCTGGTTGTTTCCAAGTCAGTTAGCATAAATTCATTTACTTTTAAGCCGAATATGGTGATGCTCCATCTGCTGATGATGGTGAACTCAATGGATCACCTCCATCTGCGGAAGACCAATGTGCTATGGACCCTGATATCTACTTTAAGAACTTTAAAATTGTCTTCAATCAAACTAGAAAGATTGAGTCTGAAATCTTGAATCGATACGTAACTCTTCGGTAAGTCATGAGTCGTGGGGCTCTTTGATTACTTTTTTTGCGGCATTTACCACGCTTTTCATCCTTGTAACCCTAATTTTAGTGGCCTCACAGCCAGAGATGCTGAAGTTGAAGTATTAAAACGTGCCTCGAAGTTGCCGACTTACGGCGTTGATCCCTTCCCGGTGAAAGTACGTACATTTCGGTTCTTTAATGAATCATCCTGTGGGAGTTAAATTAGTGGGCTGAAATCGCTATCAGCAGTCGACTGGGACTTAATATCTTGAGTTATTTATTACAATTGTCTTTTTGGTAGCCAAGCTCGTTTACTCAATTTAATGTAAGTGGTAAATTATCAAGGAACTTAGTGAAGATGCTTTCTTAAACAACTTGAAATTATCCGTTTTAGTCATTCTTCGTAAAAACCACCAGTTGTCGAGATAGTGCCTTGGTTGCGCATAAGTTTTTCCTATCTTCAGTCTGCCGCCCGGAACCCTTTTGTCAAAATGTTGCGTGATGCAACCACCTCTCTCACCTATTGTAGATCATAACCAAAGAAAAGTCGTCGAAGAAGCCCGGCCAGAAGACATCGGATGCCGCGAGCGCCAAAACCGCACCGACAGGCGACGTGAACGCCAACGCGCTGCCGCCCCAAGACGGTCAGTCGGCCCAAACCTCCCCACCTGCGCCCTCTGGATCCGTCTACCTCGGCCTACGTCACACCGGCCTCACCACTTACGTGGGCCTCCAGCCCAGTGAGAATTTCGACTGGTAAGCCCCAAGAAACGCACGCCCTACTTGGTGTTGTTGTGGTGTGCTCGGCTTGAGTTTGATGATGGCTTAGCCAAATCACGCCCACAGCAGGTATCCGATCAAGTGCACCCCATGGATTCATTGTGCACATGCCGGGAGTGTTTATGATAACCCGCTTAATCTCTAATTTGATCGGTGCCCGCTTAATTTCGTACGGTAAATTACCGTGATTTATTGTCGTCCTCTAAATTCCGCCATCTCTTTCCAGCTTAACGCGCGCCCCACGTCACAGTCCAATTAGTAGATTGGTTACAAGTGGAACGCAAGGGATGAGCCACGTGTGAGCAGGTCTGCCCACATGCCCCAACCAACCATTACTTGCTTGCTTTTTCGGCAATTCACATGTTCAAAGCTGCACTTTCTACCTGGAAGCGTTGAGTTGTTTACTGTGTCGCCATGAGCAGACTGCCACACGTCATGTGCGTTTACTGGCGTAGTGCTTTTCAATGTGCATTTTCGTGCGAAGTTGTGCAATGTTCAAACACGCGCTTCTAGTGGTGCCACGCCTGAAAGATTGACGAGGCATGCTGGTGACCAGGTGCCAGAAAGCCGAAAGGTCAATTACATTTGTGAGTTGGGTTGGAGGGAAGCGAAGCACGAGATGTCGCGGTCTGCGTGTAGCGTAAATCGCATCTCCTGATGCACGTGGATGAGGTCTGCTAGAAATCAGCCTTGTGGAAGATACTGTGGACGAGAGAACCACTCCTCTCCACACCTGTCTAGCTAGCGCCAGATGGTAATCCAAATTCCCAAAATTTGCAAGATTTAGACCAAATGTAATGCCTTTTCCCTACCATTTAATGTTTTTGATAGCCCGTAAACTCGTAATACGTGTCCAGAAGTGTATGAGCCGCGCTTTGCACAAACGCCAACATCTATCCCGGACTTGTAAACATAGGTTTCGTAGAAAAACAAGGCGAAATTTAGGCTTTGTTCCCTCGAACTGCGTGAATAGGTGCAACAGCCATGAATATACTCTTCTTGGGTGTGGTTCTGGGAAGTTTTGTGCAAATTGGTACCTGCTAGCTACGTGTCTTCTTACTGCTGACCACTTAGCCTGTGGTAGGCCTTCTTTCGCAATTGAGCAGATGACGCACGCCTTTTTTTGTCAAGTGTCTTACGAGTCACCGTGTGCGCGTGATTCCGGCACGATACCTCCATGAATGTAGTTCTTTTGCTTCATTTGGTCAAGTACTCTGCGCTTATTTCGTGGGTTCATCCAATCTAACCTCCTCCTGACTATCTTCCTTCTCTTCTGTTTCCACGCTTGTGATATTTAAATTACACTAGAAACACCCGGAGCAGCGGTTTCAAACTGGCTAAAACCCTCTTCCTCCTACTGTGTTGCTTGTTCTCTCCCCTCGTAACGGCCTCCGCGTACACTCTGTGGGTTCGCCAAACCCCCAACCCCTCCCACCATAGTTTTCTTTGAATATGCTCACAAATGCCGGGTCTTGTACACCTATTCAGCGCCAGCACTAAGTGGAACGATCTCTGGGTTTCATTGGCATTCTTGCATGTGTGGATGCGTCAGCATGCGAGAGTTTTGTGCGTGCGTGTGTGTGCTTGAATTTTCGTGAGGCTATCTACATGCCTCGTTCTGTTCCTCCACCGCCTCCTCCTCCCTACCTCTTCCTCTGTGTTTTATTAGCCGAACCGGTGTGCGAAGTTTCATCGGGCCTGAAAAAACGCAGCTTTACACTTGGTAAGACCCCTCTCGTGTCCTCGTCAAAGTGGGACTTACCACGCACATTCTCCCTCCTCCTCCCTCGCTCCGCCTAACCAACTCCCAACCACATGTGCGCACAGACTGCTCAAAGCGTTCTTCTAGTCTAATGGCAGATTCCTAACTCACTCTTAACCACGAATGCTTCCTGGCTGAGAATTGGCGTTTTTTGGCAGAGGGAGGTTAGGTGAGGCGGGGTGGGGGGTCTGGCGTGGTCCTGCAGCCCACTTACTACTAATACGAGGTGTTGGGTATGGGAAGGTTCTGGATGATTCACTGTATGTGGGCATCATCTACCCTGTACACACACCCACCCACCCATCTTTCCTGCTGATTCATCCTAATCCGGTGTGATTGTTTCTCTTGTGTGTGCGTGTTTTGGGGGCGGGGGAGGGAGTATTCTAGGGTCCAAATGTCACCGGGTTTAGCGTTCGCCGTATCCCCTTTCCCCACGCAAACCGTAGCACACGTCGACAACTACAGCCCCGCCTTTCCACCGAATTCGTCGGGTTGGCGCGCCTTTCTCTCTCTAAAAGAAACCGCCGATTCCACCAACTCCATGCGAACTTTGGCTTACTCCTTTTCCCTAACAACAATACACCTTTTTACTCCTAAAATCACGTAACTGCGTGACTTAAAAATGAACTAGTGGCCTATTGTCTTTGTGGAGCCCCAACTGGTGGAAGTAATTAGCTTCAGTAGTCACAACATGGTTCTTTCCTGTTCTTTTCCAGGGATACCATTGGACGTCTGGCGTGCGACGGCAGAGATTTCATCGTCTACTTGAAGCCTGATTCGGTACGTACTTGGGTTATACTTACAAATAAAGGCGCTATAATGAGCCCCACCCACAACCACCACCACCACCACCGCCATCATCACTTTCTAGGCGTTGCCCGCCACCTATTTTGTGAATTCTAGGTTACTTTGCATTCTTAAGGGTCTGTAACTGGTCCACCTTATGGAATTTTGACCATGGCGACAGATATGTGACTCACTTTAAAGATAAAAACCTCTTCCAGTGGGGTTTATGGATCAGGAGACGGGTAGATTCTTGCGTGTGTGTGTGTGTGTGCGCGCGCACACATCCATCCAGCTCAAATTTGAGCTCCGCGTGGCCCCTCAGCGCGGCGTGTTCTCACTTGTGTTAGCTCGCGTAGACACCCAGTTTCACAACCAAAAACGATCTCCACCGCTGCTGTTCTCAATCCTGACAACGCCTCACACCAGTGTGATTCACCTGCCTTCGCATCTGAGACTCAGAGTTCAGCCTGTTTGTACGTGAAAACGGCTCTATTCTTACAAGGGGTCCATGTGGCTGCCTGTGAGGCATTTAAACAAACGTCAGCATTTTCTTACCCTCTAACGAGAACCCACTGCCTTGGTTGTTATCGTTCTTTTTTCAATGTCCATGTCCGTTGCCATGGTCACCGCTAGGGTGTGGCTCTCATTGGTTGGAAGTCATAGTTTGCAAGACCTCACCAGCCACGCTTGCGGCAATACACAATGGCAGGAGTAGGTAGAGGTGCTAGTTTATGTCGTCCACGATGCGTGGACGGCCACACCACAACACAAGTACCTCATTCGAGTCCGAACACACGATTGTTAGCTCCACTTACCTGCTTATTCTTCACAGGAGTTGGCAGACCAGAAGAAGAGGAAAAAACGGGTACAGTGTGTGTGCGTGTGTGTGTGATCTGCCTCGCTAACGTGTGTTTTGTAGTGCCGTGCTGTAACACGCTCCGTGGAATGTGTGTGTGTGCGAATGGTTTGTCTTTTTTTTACCCTCTTTAGCCCTAATCCCTCCCTTGATTTCGCCTAAAACCACCTCTAACTCGCATGCCTGGTAGTTTCTACTTAAAAAAAACCGCGGGTGTTGTTGTTCTCGCGAGTGACCGATGTGGTCGCCGCGTCAAGACGCTTCCCTTTACCCCTCTCTCCCTCTTTCTCTCTCCTCCAGTTGAAGCCGCGAGTGGTGACGTTCAGGTGTGAGAGCAAGGCCGCCGCGTTGGCGTTGTGGAAGTGGACAGTGGATCGTAAGAGCTTCTTCACGTAAGTAACCAGCCTCGTTCGCGCGCGCGCACACACACACACGCATCTCAAGTAGTTTATGCAGCACCGACACGCACGCACACGCACGCACAACAGAGGTGATCTAAACCAGCGCTATATAGCTGCTAAGTGATGCCATATCACTTGGCTCTGGTTTTAATGAGGCCGCTCGTTAATTGGCGCGCACTTAACGGCGTAGAAATAAACAAAGGTATAGAATTTATGCGTTTGTACTGGTGTTCATTCGAGGTGGGTCGATGTGGCAACAATGCCCCCTACCACGTCCCCGTTGGATTGGGGAAGCTTCCCCCGGTTGTACACGTGTTAGCCTGTGACGTGTGCGGTAACCGGGCGTCATAATTTTTTTATGACCTACTTCGGTCTGCCGTCGGTAATAAACGGCCCTCTCTCAGTGACGGGGTGGTGGCGGCCACTTGCACACCCCCCTCTGCGCCTCCACTGGTCACTCCAGGGGGCCAACAAGTTTCCGGGTCCTTGTTGAGGTCGTCGGGGGTTCCAGACTTGGGTCAGTCGGGTCCACAGCTCCTTGAAGTCTCTCTCACGACGACCAGACGTGAACGGAGGATTATTGGGAGTGGCACACATTGACAACGCAGACGATGGACACGAATTATTACAATTATATGCCGCCTCGCAGCGGTTAAAGTTTCCAGCACTTGTAGCAACAGTGAAATCGTTAACCTTTCAACGCCGATTCCGCGGTGATTTTGTCAAAACCCCTTCAAACACCTTCAACTGGCACACCAAATTTCAACAAGGGACTCATTATGCTTATTAACGAGGTGCGACTTCTGTTTGCCATTTCTAAGTTCGCAAAACAACACCAACCCATTTAAAGGCTCAGTTTTTTTGTAAACTGTGCTTTGCGGAATGTGTAAATAAACAGTATTGTCTCGTTATCACGCGGTTTGTTAAAAATCTAGGCTCCAGTGGAGATTGCACGAACTGCCCCTCCCTCCCGTTCCTCCTTCAGAATTGTGCCGGCCACCGTGAAACCTGATTCTTTCTGAGTATCGCGTTGCGCTGCAGCAAGCAGCGTTAATCGTGTATCTCAGATTTCTTGTGTGTGGCGTGTGTGTTCCACGCCTTCTGACCTTGTGTACGAGTCATCAGGAATCCATTTTCCCTTGTTTTACTAGATTAAAGAAAGCCAGTGAGGCGAAGGTCACCAAGACGTCGAACAGCTTCTTCCGCCGAAGTCACTCCTACCGATTCATGTAAGCCACTTCCGCTTCACTCCAGACACCTGAACTGCGTCTGTGTCTGGGGGTGGGGTTCCTAGGTCCCCTTTTGATCTAACATTCTCATTTTAACCAATCCGAAGGCAGAAATGATGGTCACTTGTAGCCAACCCCGAAAAGCCCCCCTCACAGCTCCTGCCAAATCGCTGGGGACCAATGAATGCCACAAATTAACTCATTTTTCCCCTCTTCCAGCGGCAAATCCCAGATGGAATTGAAGTCTATAACAAACTCGGCGGAGTCGCTTCCACAACCAGCCTTCGTAAGGTATGGATTTAATTTCTAGCCAGCCTCGAAACCGTCTTAGTTAGCTGCTTTCGTGTGAAGTCAGTTGACACGCAATCTACTTTATAGCCCATGGTAAGCCTCAGCATCGCCCATCGTAACACACCGCAATTAAGCCGCACATTTGTCTATTTTTAGCCGCACGGTTGTGCAAATTGTTGTCATCACAGTCAGACCTAGATCCTTAAACGCTGAGAGGGAGTCGTGGGGTTTCGAATCATGATCACGCGGTCGCGAACCGGATCCAATGCTGCCACAAATCAAGAATTTAACCCATCGAGCTCTCTACCTACGTGTGTGTTCGACTTCCTTGATTATGCTCCTAATTCCAACCAAGTACCTTGGAGGCTAGTCGTTTATGGTGTTTTCGACTCGAAATTTTACGATTTCAACTTGTCATTCAAGTGTACCCGCTAATGTTGTGTGAAATATTGAGCACGGTGCGTGTGCTCAGTCGGTAAAACCGTTGACTCAGTGCCAAACGTGGTGGTGGCGCGTTCGTGGGCGGAAATCGTAAGCGAAAATCGCCCGACTGATGCGAACCATGCCTCTTTCACCTCACTACACGCTCAAGCCACGCGGTCTCTTTGCCACGTCGGCTTGATTGACAGCGTCGAGGCTAAACGTAGCAGCTGCGCAGATACATTCCCACACTTATTTCAGTTAGCCCCTAATGAAAATCAAATCCAGAGTCACTTGTGGTCTTCTCACGTGCTTTCTTCGGTGGCTTGGGGCATTCCAGCACAGTGGCGAAATGGTACTCTAAACGAATGATGTTTGCTCACTTCAGGGTCTCCAGTCTGCGACGCAGTCCACGGAGCCACGATGGTGACTTCGACGCCCCTTCAGCCCGCGCCACCCTCCCAGCTCGCATTCGCTCCAGCAACGCCACTGACTCCGCCGTCTTGCCCGCCACCGACCCAGCGAAGCGACGTAAGTCCCAAGCCCCTCTTTCTCTCTCTGTCTCTGCTAACTCGGTACCGATTGATATCCATGTTCCGTCATTGTGCGTAACCCTATCCCCCTGATTTCAGCTCCGATCCTGCCGTTAGTAGAGAACGATCAGGCCACAGACGAAGCCAGTTAGTCAGCCTGTGCTTGTATATCGCTTGCTGTCTTAACCCCTGCCTTATCGCCTTCTCTGCGCATATGCATGCATGTGTGCGAAGTAGCGATGAGTTACGCCGGCGCGTGTGTGTCAATGTTTTAGCACCTTCACCACCACTGCCAGAGGTAGTGGAGGCGGAAACAGAACTCGACGAACCACCGCACGAAGTCGCGGAAGAGGGCAGAGCGGTGGAGAAGGAGGAAGAACACGTGTCGGTAGAAACGCCGAGTTAGTGCACAACTGCTTAGCTAGTTGATCGCGCATAGTGCGAGACGCGTAACACAGACACACACACACGCAAGACTAGACGCCAGACAAAGCACCAAACCACCTTCGATTTCTTTGTCTTCCTTTGCAGGCGACATCGCCGCACTTCAAGCGGCGGAGGTGCCCGAGGCTGAGAGTTAGTTGAAGCCTGTGGTGCTTGAGTTCGCTTACTAACTGCTTCTCGCTTTCTCCCATTCCGACGATATCGAGTTGATTTCAAGCTCATTGCCCTAGTTTCATGCGCGCGAGCGAGCGTTGATAGCCCCCTTGGTTAGCCCCACCGACACCCCTGCCATCACCCCCGCTCACCGCGTTCTCTTTTGGTACTTTCAGCCACCCTCTCCACGGTGAACGAACAGGCCGGAGATGCGGCAGCAACGAGCGACAATGCGTAAGTTTCTGGACTTCCCTTTTTGTCGCCAGCCACACTCTTGGGGTCGGATGTTCGGTTCGCCTTTCGATAAGTCCTCCTTCCCTGTCTCTGCCGTTCCCTTTAGAATTGGTGTCGTGGCGTTTATGTGGTCTCTAGCGACTTCGTAAGTTGCACCCCCCGCCTCCTACCACGCCATTGGTGGCGGTTTATCTCGGAGTGTCTTGACCGATGGGCCAACGGGCCTGATCGTGCATGTGTGCCTGTCAGCGCCTTCACCCGCCTCACGCGTCAAAAGGAGACGAGTTAAACCAGGCTAAAACACGCTCTAGTTCGCATCCTGCCCAAACCCCAGCCGAGGGCAATTCTCAAGCCTCGGACCAATCCGCTAGGCCCACGTACCAAACTTTGCTGTGGCTCTATTGGTTAACGCGACGGGCTCGCGCGTGCGTGTGTGTGTGGGTGTGCACGCGCTCTAATCAATGATCTCTTAGTCGCTCCGACGCTTGCCTCCTCCCTTCCCCCCTATCCCCTCCCAACGCCGTCGCAGTGCGCACGTGCCACCCTTTGGCATGGTGTGCACGCCTTATCGTTTTACCACGTGGTTGCGCCATGCATGCACGCGTGTCTGTAGCGACGCCGTTTGTGTACTGTGTGTGAGTGTGTGTTTGGGGCCATCGAGTTGGTAGTTGAGACTTTGAGTTAGAACTCACGACCACAGCCCTCGGCGTGTTCACCGGATGAACTGGGTCCCCGAGTTTCCATCGACGACACACGAAGCTAGATTTCGGCCGAATGGTAGTGCCAACTTCTTCAGCATTGGGTTCATTTTGCGTGTCATTAATTCAACTAATTATTACTGCGTGTGCATGCGTGGGGGAAGCGCGGACACGGGGCAGTAATTTATGCACAGTGCCTTCCGGCATCTGGTCCGGTGTGATGTGGCTTCACGCGGTACCTTTGCTTTCGCAGTGTCATGAATGTCGCCAACGATCTTCGCGCTCTCCAACCCGACGAGGCTGACACGCCAATCAAACCAGTTCAATCCGCCGCCGTCGCGGCATGCCCTCCAACGACGTCCGCGCCTGTTTCAGCCGATTCAGTGGATGCCGACGTCAATGAAGCTGACGAGGTAAGTCTTTCTGTGCTGACATTCTTGGCTCCACCACGTGTCGGTGGAGCAAATCAATTGGTCTTTGTCTGGAGGTCGTCGAACCCCGATTCCAGTCGTTGTTGCTGTCAATCTTTACCGATGTCGGTCGGTTCCAGGTAGTTTGATGACCACACTGTGAGACTAGTGGGCGAATCGCGAGAACTGTTTAAAGACGACTCGGTCTGGTCCTAATCAATCCATTTTTTCGTCAGACGTCTGAAGTGCGCCTTCGACCAAACCACACCGCCTCAGGTTCCGCCGACCGCGACTCGGACTGCCTGCGAGCGGTGAAAGAGATCGACCAGGTGATCGACTCGGTGCACCAAGCCAACGGCCACCAGAAACAGCCGCTGCCCAATGGCGAGATGTCTCGCGAGCGCCTCTTCGACACGAAGCCGTCCAACAGGACCCTGGTCTACGCGATGGAGGCGGCCGCCGTCTTTGGTCTGGTCTGCTTCGGCGTCCTCGTAGCCGCTCTCGAGACTCATCCGGTCACGGACCCGGGTAGGCAGGTGAACTTCTGGACGAGGCTAGCAATGCAGCTCCGTGGCCAGCCCTTCGTCGCCTCCTTCAACGAGTACATCTACGCCCCGCTTCGAGGCTTCTTAGTCGGTGGCGGACGCTAAACCAGGGCGGGGCTCTTCCCCCGCTCTTACTCTGACCTTTTTGCGTGTGTGCGTGTGTGTCTGTTTGTGTGTACTCGCGTATCCATCACTTTTTTACACCGATTTCACCTTTGCGCCACAAAAAAATACTTTTGAGTTAGCCTTCTAGGCAGTCTATTATCCATCTCTCACTCCCTTCATCCTCCTTTTATCCTCATTTTGTAATTTCATTTGAAGTCCTCCTCGTTCTGACAGACTCGAGTTCTGGTTTGTGCGCGCGCGCGCCCGCGCGCTTGTTTGTGTGTGTATGGCGGCTTTCCGGTGCACACTCACACATCCGTGGACGCACGCCATTGTCTTACAGAATCACCCTTCCCCCGGCTGCGCCCTCCTCCTCCTTCTCCCCCTCCCTCCTCCCTATCCCTCCAAAACGACAAGCGACTGTTAAACTATACTTCACTGTAAGTCTATGAACGCACTCTGCGTCACTCTCGCTCGGCCAATTCCGTGACACAGATTATACAATTGGACTAAAGCCCACCTCCACTTGGTTGACGATATTTCGGTCGTGTAGAAACGCGCCTGCCGCCCCTCTCAACTAAACCTGACAGGTGAGGGAAAAGGCCCGTTAATCTGTTTAAGGAACAATGAGATCAATAGTACGGTTCAAGTGGCCCAACCTGTTCCCAGTCCTGTCTCTTATTTACTGTAGTCTCGTGGGAATTGATTACAAAGGTTTGACCGTGTAGTGGATAGCGTTGTGTGTGATCGCCAAAAGACGGTAACATGTTTGGTTTCGACAAGAGATTTCGAATAAGGTTGAATCTACATGATCACGGCACTACGCCACCATGTCTTCAGTCCCTTATGCGTAAGATGGAGCTTATTCGGTGTTACTGAACCAACGGCTGAATCTGAGCGTCGGTAGATGGTCTATTCTTGTCGGATGAGTGCTTAAAATAAACGCGAATATCTAACGCGCTGATCATGAGTTGAGCCAATCAGATAAAGGCGGTCGATACGAATTCAGAAAATTGGTGTACAAGAACGCTGAGCGTGGCACCAGACCGCCGCATTCCTGCCTATGATGGAGGTGTTCTTGAGCCAACGGTAAACTGTCCGTTTCTTTCAGAAAACTAGCCCTCGTTGTTTTCTCTAAGGCTCTCTCTGCAGTAGTTTTGTGTTAAGTCTGGCCGTCACCCTCTCATGCTTCTCCAACAAGGAAATGGAGCCAGCATTTCCCAAGGCGGCTCACGTTAATAAGGAATTAGTCATTGTTTATACAAGCCCTTCCAACCACGTTGCTAAGATCGTTCACTCAGCTGACAATGGCATCTTGGGCTATCAGGTAGAGGTCACCCAGTGCTAAAACAAGCGGGCACATGACATCTTACTCGGCCTTCAGCCGAAGCGATGAGAGCTATTTACACGGTTTGAGCCAATCAGGTAGGGGCGGCCGATTTGATTTTGAAATGTGGTGTGCTTGAACACCAAGTTACTTTCACGCAACGACTGGGGCCCTAGAGATTTCTGACGTCCCCGAGGTAATGTCATAGCATCAATCATTATTTGATTAGTGCCACAAATGACGAGATTGTCTCTCTCGGATGCACTTGAGACGGTGTTCGGAGGGGTCTGCACAGTTCCCATTGGCCTTTACATCAGCATCCGATGTGAACTAGACGTGATCGCGTTCCGTAACCATAGCAACCACTTAAGTACCAGCTGCTACGTCGTTAATCGATAATCTGGAGTGTACTGCCGAAATTGCTAACAATCCACCAACAGAAAATGACTCGGAAATTCATTTCCCGTCCAGGATCTTCCACGGGGAGTCTGAAAATGATGTGAGGTGTTTTGAACATAAATCAACACAACACTACCAATAATTAGGCAATTATCAAGGTCAACTGTTCTTCCGATTCACATCGTGGGATTCTGTTAGAATATGTGTCGGTAATTAAGAAAGGCAACCCTGAGGTGTGGAGTAAACAGCAACTCAAACCGGTCTTAAAGAACAATCGATGCACTTGCTTGGGGTCAGTTCATCACACATTCAAGGACAAAATCAGACAGGTGCGAAATAAAAAAAAACAAATTTTGAGAACACATTTCTACTCGATAATGTGCAACTACTGTTAGACAGAGCCCGTCATTTGAAATCGAGACAGGCAGCAGTATCCATTTAAACAACTGCCAACCGTTAACGTAGCTTGTTGTAAAGTAAAACCAACCAAGGCATGACCTAGGTTTGTTGACAGAAGTCTCCTGAAAGAAAATCAATAAAATCGATTTTGCACTGTCTCAGGGCTATGACAGCGGCGCAACTCGTGTGACCTTGCCCCGGCCCTAGTTATGAGATCATTGCGAATTGTGACAATTGTGTAGCTTGACATTCTTAATAAAAAAATATCCTACCAACCGGCATCAAGTGACAACGGAACTTTCCCCTCTCTAATGCTCTACCTAAATGCCAAATCCAGCCCAATGTATCGACCCTTTTAGTTAACTTCAAATAACATTCAGTAAATCGATAGCCGATTGGATCTGAAAGTGCACCCAGCACAAAATTGTGTACTTGTAGGTGCAAATCCAGTATCGTGTTTCGGTATGCACCTCAACCATCCATATCTCGCAGACAAAGTTCATTACACAGCCCACTTTTTAACGATATACCCTTCGGACTTGGGGGTTATCTGTCAAATGCGTTTGGTTGCGTTTTTTAAGTAATTTGATACCTTTACTACCCGGAAAGGATATAACAGAGAATATTTCACTTCAACATGGCGTTTTTAGTTTACATTTGTTAAAAAAACAATACTTTTTCTGCACTTTTTTAACCCTACATTCTTTAAACGGCAATGCGCTGCCCAAAATCGACGCTGGTGCTGTTTAGTCGATCTTCCATTTTTCGCCAAGCCCAAAACTGCTCTTTAAGAACATGAGCTTCAGCTACACGTCGCGCGCACATGCTTGTCACGTGATTATCGATATCTCAAGCTTTGTGGAGATTGGTCACTTGTGAGAGCTGTAGTAGGGCCTTATCCACTGGCGACACACAACGCAAAAGCATTCATGAAGAAGCCTAGCTGGACCAATTTTAGGCGTCAAATACAACAAGATTTTTCTGTTTAATATGCCACATCAGGTTCAAACAAACACGTGTACAAAAGATCAGATTTGCGGTCATTTGATGTCAGTTTTCGTGTAGACAAATGGTCAACTGGTAAAAATGTGCTCACCTCTTGTACTTTGTAGTGGAAATTAGAGCGTCAGATGTCGCTTTCACATGCAAAGGCTACCGGTTCATCGCCCGCCAGGTGCTGCGAGCATTTTACTCCCCCCGGCGTATTCTCATGACGCAAAAAGCCCACGACTTGGTCCAATTGTGTCGCTACTTGATTTATTACGTGTCAAGGCAGAGTTGAAAACATGTGAATGATCACGCCAACTGTCTACCGTCAACAATTTGCCACCAAATCGCATGAGAAAATTGTTAGTGAAACTTGTGTAGTAGCCGGACTGGTATTATCCGTCCTAATCGAAGACAGCGCGCGTCGTTGGTTTTAAAATTGCCGCGTTTAATCTTAACCAATCATTTCTTTGCGTCGCCTGCTTATTACTTAAGTTGCTAAATTATGTCCGAAATGGGGCGTTCTTGCATTCCAGATGGCCAGGCGCTTGCAATGTGACTGAATAACAAATAACACAATGGGCTCATTCACCAGCCCAAAACACCGCCTCCGTCAACATCACTACCTCCTACAACTCGCATGTACACATTACTGGTGGCAATAACCGTTGTTGACCTTAGTGAATCGAGGTCAGATAGCAGATTAGTAGTGCGTGGATGGTAGAGTAGTTACGCAGTTTTGGATGGGGTTATCGTTTAGTGCAGTCGCCTACAAAAGCTGAACTATTCACTTCACTGTCGTGCGTTCTGGTGTAGTCTTTGCCCTCTCGTGCTTACTTAAACACACAACTTTATTTGACGAGCTTCAATGTACGCAGTTGGCAGGTTAGGAGGGGCACACTTAGTCACCTTTCGGAGTTGTGTGGTCACTACTATACCGGTGGCCTCCTTCTAACCAAGTGCACACACGCTCGCACAATTTCTGGCTGCTTTTTTTTCACACACCACAACAATTTCGTGCTAAGAGGTGCTCCGAATGCTGGAACGTGACTGGCCGTTCTACCATTTAGATGCTCATTGTTTAATCCATGGCGAACAAGGTTTCCTTACGTATTGAATAGTCATGCCTTTTCGCGTGCTCTGGCTAGCTTTTTCCGTCATTAAGGTGACAATGTATCGCGTAGGCTTTAAGTGGAGTTGTAATAACAGTGGTCGTCACCAAAGGCACGTCAAAACGTGTTTCCGTGGGTGACACCTCGAATGGAGCTGGTTGTAGTGTGATTCGTATCGACATATTCAGATTCAGTAGAAAGGAAGACGACAAAATTAAGTTGCTAGTCCCTCGATTTGGAGGGAAGTGAACTCCACAATACCTGGAACAACAGACAACCACTGAAAGAGGTTGCAAAGCTTTCTGGTGCCTCCTCAAGTTCCACCATACGTCCAATTGCAGTTGTTTATAGGTACGAAGAAGTCGATTATCAATGATTTATTGTGGGCATTTTAATTGCATCAATGTAAAGCCTCTATGTCATCATCGAACACGAAGTAGAGACAAGGTCAATGACTAAATAAGGCTGAGTCCATTATCAGGAAGGGGCACTTGGGTGACTACTGCAAACCTGATTTGAAAGGCAATGCATTTCTTATTTGTATCGGAGTTGCCCTTGACAATAGGGATGACACACACAATAGCAGAACACTGATAGGAGGAATCACTCGTCAGCGTAGGTTGTCACGCGAGGGTTATTACACCTTCTTAGTCGATATGCAAATTGTAAATGTACTTAAAGCATTTAAGTAAAGATAGTGCTGTAACTGTTTTAACAGCTTACATGTGCAGAAAAGTTCTGTAACAAGGAATAAATCAAGATTACGACGATTTAAATAAACTCGAAAAATCGGAGAAATTGATAGCCTCGGGGCTCAGAGATTCCTGTTTACAAGAATGGCCAAAATCGAGTCAACTCAAGGTCATAACGACATCAGGCATCGGAATTAGACGGATGAATTAATCTAGTCACAAACTGTAGTAACACCGGAAGACCAAGTCAACGAAACCAAAATCTTACTCGTAGATGTAGACGATCAATACAGCGAGACATTAAATCAATTAAAAATCGATTCGGCTTGCGCGAAATGCGAATACTTTGAACGATAATCTCCGCGCAAATTGCAATTGGTATTTTGCCGAAGAGATGTTTCAGCGTGCCGAGAACGGACTGAAACAGTGGGCGTGAGTCTACAACAGCGATTTTTTCCACCACAAGTACCGGTTTCTCATCGCGGCGACGCCTAGCAACGTACTTTACCAAACTTCTTTTCGAAAAAACAGTGTCTTCGTTGTGGCTTAGTGCTTCGGGTGAGCATTAAACAGGGACACGATTCTGTCGCATGTCAAATGATATTACCAAATCAGAAGTCTTCAGAAATATATACATGTTGCAAAATTACCCGTAATGTGCTTTTTGTCCTTTTCGAACACTATTTCACACATACATATTGACCGCGCATTCATCTGATTGGCTCAGCTCCATTTAAATATGCTTTCCACCTTATTGGTCGAGCACCTTTTAATGCTTTCATGCCATTGGTTCATATTTATTTAATGCAATATCTCATTAATTGGCTGCTGCGGTCTAAAAAAGTCCATATTTTCAGGCACATTTGCAAAATGGAAGCGTGTTTTATCACAATAATTTGTAATGATTTTGCTGAACACTCTCTCCACATACATTTGTAAGGTTTTATGAGGCCTAATAAGTAATTATTTTAAGGGCGACTGTCTAACAAACAAACCAGCACATAAAATATCATTTGCCAATTTAGTCACGTGACGAAATTTTGATTTCAGACTGGATGAAACAATTTAGTTCCTCAACTTCACCGCGCGACTACCCCAGTCTGCTTCCAAAACAGGGTGTGAGGAGAAGGAGGAGGAGGAAGAAGAGAGGGATCTACCGATTGCTTTAGCAAGCTCCTTTTCGATCAATAAGAGCGACTAATTCAAGCCTGGTGACTACCAAACCAATGAGTACTCCACAGACATGCGAAAAATTCATACGCCAACAAACAGGAGAGTATTTTGAAATCATTCTAGATTGATCTAATGACCCAATTCTTGCAAATTTAACCCAGAGTGCTGTGTATATTTAGTTGCTTCCCACGAACCAAACAATCACTTAGGGTGCTTGTTAGAAATGACAGAATTTATATGAGCTCGAAATCCAGATGCTATTACAACGAGACTTCAAGACACAGGATTAATTTTGAATCGCCACTTTAAATGAGACTAATTCAAAAGTCAGCAAACACTCAGGAAATTAAAGCCATCTTCGTATCAACCGCGTATCTATTTACTGACTTTGCATTTTAAATGCGCTATTTATTGGTTGTCAAGGTTGCAAATCAGCCTTCTGTCCGGAAAATTTAAATATTTAAATTGCAGAATGTAATCCAACAAAATCGATTTCTGTGCAATTTTTCGATTCTTATTAATGACGACACCAAACAACCTTTCGTGTTTTATTTTTTTGTGCAAAATATCACTTTACATTGATTTTCAGTCGGTTCCAAAAATAGCCCTGGTTTTCGCAGGGCATTTCGACTGCTCCGTTTCGGTACATTTGAGTTACCGCGTCAGTTACATCTGACACAATCAGGCTAATTTTAGATCCCGGAAATTGTGAAATAAATCTTGTCCGATAAATTGCAAAGGTGGTGAAAAATCACGGCTGTCATTCTACTAACGATGTAACTATAGTGTCTGAGGTGGGTTAGGTGCAACTCAATTAATAAAAGAATTGTAATGAATACTATAAACATACTTTCGTATATAAATCACTTCAGGTTAAACTTCAAAATGGTTACTGTGACAACGATGGAGCAAGTATTGCTAGATGGAGGAGTCATCTTGGGTCTGTTTTAAAAAAACTGAGAAAAAAGATAACAAAAGAGGATCATTTCGGACATTTTGGTTGGCCAAATCACCAAATCACATCAGCCAGCCTCGTGACGGAACGGGCAAGTTGCAGCGGTTGCATTTGCGCGCGTGAACTGAATCTCCTCTTCCTCATTGGATAAACGCGATTGGTTAGCCCGGCAGCGTGTGAGCAGCCTGGCCAGCCAATGCGCGCATGCACCTCAAAATTGAACGAGATGCACGCACGCGCGCACGCGTCCGAGTGCAGCAAATTTCGCGCCAGCAGTTAGCAAAATTGTGCGGGAGGTTATTACCACCATCGTCGTCGTCGTCGTGGTCGTCATCATTTCCCTACATGCGGCGGCCGAACACGCACACACGAGTACTCTCTAAGAGGATGTATTTAAGCGAATTTTGACCTCCTGGCAGGCATGACAAGAATCGTCAATTGTGAGGAAGAGAGTACAGCCAAACACCTCATGGACTGCGCCAGTAGCAGTCCGAAATCCGGCTTCACGTCGTTAGGTGTTATCGCGGCTTCGGCGTTGAATGAAAAAGTGCGGAGCCACAACGCTTCCTCGACGGCACTAAACCTACAAAATCCACAGCAGAAGCACGAAAATTCACTCGGTGCTGCCGAAAACGATCCGGCCGCCCAGCCCATCAGTTCTGGCAACAAGTTGCTTTTCATTTTCTCCGAGGAGAACGTCATTCGGAAGTACGCGAGGATTATAATCGAGTGGGGATATCCTTTTCAATGTTCCGTTTTGGCAACTAGTCTGTCATTTTCAATTCCCAAATTAGTTTTACACGAACAGCCGATGGAGTTTCCCGTGTACGCCTTCACGCGTGGTTGTAGCGGCGTATGCTTAAACGACTAGACTACGTAATGTGTATCCGCTCTCAGCTGAATTGACCGAGGACGCTTCCTCTACCAGGAAAAAAAAACAAAATCTGGCCGAAACTGACTGGTTGCTTCGTTTGGAGCGTTGCCAATTAAAGTTTGCATAACAGGGCTCTGTGACCACAGATGGATAATCCGATGGATGTTTACTGGTGAAAATTGCTTGCTCTAGACCGTTCGAACACTTTTTTTCATAATTTAAACAGAAAGAGGAAGTCATAGCAGTGATCACAGTATGTTTTTCTTCGTTTTATGCCTAAATACTGGTCACATTTTCTGCCAATAGAAATTCAGTGTGATCAGAGGCACAAAAATCAATTTTCGGAGCATTTGAATCGAATTAATGTGCATCATAGCCCCCTGGTCACCGGATCGAGCCTTGCCTGAGGACTGGTCGAAGCGACTGTCCACGTGTCACGGCGTCCAGGCTCTGTAATTACATATTGATTTTTTCTGACATCTGTAAATCTGATTGGTGGTTTTTGGAAACATTATCGATCGGTAATAGGGATACTCAAACTAGTCAGACACAGAATGATGTGGCAAACATTTTCATTGGATTCCCAAATTTGTAGTCTCAGTACATGGCTACATCCCTTCACAATTTCGCCGCATCGCATTCGAAACTTACCCCTGTCATCTGTGTCGAGGTGACAATAGTTGGTGTTTATGCACACGTTCCAATTTACAAAAAAAATTAATTTTGGTTTGTACGAAGACACCGTTTTATGTGGCAAATTTGTCCTTTCCGTGTCTGGTAGATGTCACTTGTAGCTTCTGGTCTTCCTGAAAGTACCAATTTAAGGTCTTTTTTAACTTGCGGTTGAAAAAAAACGTTCTTTTCCGAAAAAAAAAGAACAACATCAGCACGACTCACATCACGTACGTGTTGATTGTTTAAAACGATTTAAATATTTGTCAAAGTTCACTTACCACCGTTTTAATTGGCCTTCTGAAGTTGGTTGCAAAATTATTTCTAATCCGAAGCTCCGAATCTATTTTTAACGACGTTATAGATCTGAAATCACACTTGTTTAAAGATTGTACCGATTACGTGGACAAAAATGTACACGAGCATTAACTCGCGAAGCCCTCAAACAACGTGACAAAGCGGAAACTGCAAAATCGATTTAAAAAGCGAAATCATTTCATTGCCACTCTTTAATTTGTCAATTATTGCTACATTTAACACTGCTCTAATAAACAGACAAACGCGTTTGAACAGTGGGGTGTGAATAGGTGCGCTAGGTTTAACTGCCGACATCGCTTGAAGCGATCACTGCATGCAAAAATGTCGAAGAAGCGGTTGACGAGGTTTTGTGTGCTGGCAAATTTTCTGTGTCTTCCTTAACGTTGGTATTTTTCGATGCACGCCGTTTGAGTACATGGTCCTGCTCACGATCACCGCCAACTGCATTGTCCTGGCAATGGAACGGCACTACCCTTCAGGGGATAAGTCGGCCCTGAGTGAAAGTTTGGTAAGCCGCCATTGTGTTTATTCACCTCAGTAAAACACGAGCGCATGCTCAGGTACTTTCATAATTCTACACTCTTTGCAATTTCATAATCCGCCGGCACGCTTAAAATCCCGTAAAAGAAGAAGACGCTGTGGCGAAGACACCAAGATTTATCCACCTGTTTTCCATAAACTTGTGTTGCGCGCTTAAATGAGCCAAGACCAATCAATAAACATCCAGCCAATGAGATTCACTCTTGTCAGATGTTTGAGTATCAATTTTAAACTCCGTAAGATCATGGTAACACAAGAACAAACACATTTTCAATTTAATAATGAACACAAACATGCAAAATCCGGTAGAAAAGAAGACACCATGGAGTAGACACCAACGCTTGTCCATCTGTTCACTAAGTTCAATCAATAAACACACAGCCAATAAGAATCACGCCCCTGGAACGCCTGCGTATCAATCGCCTACGACGTGGAATCGAGGCAACGCAAGAATAAACACTTGTTCACTGTTTGTTTGCAGGAACAAACAGAAAAATACTTTCTTGGCATCTTTTGTGTGGAAGCACTGCTCAAAATCGCTGCCCTGGGATTCGTTCTCAACGAAGGCGCTTATCTCAGGAGCATCTGGAATATCATCGACTTCCTCGTGGTCGCAACGGGGTGAGCTAAAGCGAGCAAACCTTCAATGAACAATTTCTTGTAGAATAAAGAATTGCTCTTTCATACAGACGCTCATAACACTTTGCTTCAGCCACTTGTCTGCCGCGCTTCGCGTTGAGCCAAATTAAAACAATAAAGGCGCGGGATTTTCAAATGCATTCGACAAGTTTGCACATAAATTTGAGCGGCAGGATTGCACACCGCCGAAATAGGATCCCGAGTTCCCTAATTTTGAGACACGCGTGATTGTTATCATTCCCGCTTTGATGTAAGCAGGTTATCAAAATTGCGCTTGCCTAATCCTCAATAGCGCAAGACTAGCTGAAATAGCAGCTTTTGATTCACACTAAAATGCCCAGAAATTCGCATGACATTGATTCCGACTATAGTTATTCGTAGTTGAGTCCACTCCACCCTTTCGGGCTCGTTTTGATTGATCTGGCATTGATTTGTGTGTCTTATGTTCCTTTTTGCGTTAGTTTGTTGGCGTACATTCTGCCGAATCTCAATCAGCCTGCGCTCCGAGCTCTTCGCGTTCTGCGACCGCTCAAATTGGTCACCGGTTTCGAAAGTAAGTAGCCCAACAAAGCGTCGAAATGATTTCAATCCCTCGAGCCTCTCCAGGTCGGTTTCTTTTGTTAGACGATCAAGGAACCCAATGATTAATCAAGATCCGGTATTTAGTCAACTAGTCATTTAGTCTCTACCGTGTACAGCGCCCCCTTTTAGTGAATTTTAACCTGGCTAAACCACTATACCTTCGAAGTAATGATATCTTGGTCATTGACTCTCATCCTGGTTCTCATTTCAGGCCTGCAAATAGTGCTGAAGTCGATATTTCGAGCGATGGCACCACTTCTGCAAATCGGACTGCTGTTGTTCTTCGCCATCACCATATTCGCCATTGTCGGACTGGAATTCTACTCCGGTGGCTTCCACATGACGTGTTTCGATGAGCGTAAGTGGCTTGGCTCTGTGGCATCTAGTCCGCAAAGTAGGTAACATCTGGAGCGCGGTCGAGTCAGGAGTGCTTAGCACTCTGGTTGCATCGAAACCAACGTCCCTGCAGTCCCTGAAATCGGTTGTCGTTGCGGCAGACGACAACACATCCGCCTGTTCAATGATGGACTTTTAAAAGCGCAAAACTGAGTGACATGACGTGTGATGAGGGCACTGCGTGGTCAGACATGAAGCACGAAGACGTCCAGACATGCACTCACATCATTGCTTCGTAGTAGAGGGTGTGCGATTTTGGAAGTGGACGAACCAATTACCAGCAGGCGATGCACTTGGACGAGACTGCGTTAGGTGGTTAGCGATTAGATTAACAAGGGAGTGGGAACTGCAAGACGAACTACACGGTACTGGTGCAGGGCGATCATCCACAGGTAATTCCGCCATAAATTAGACTTTTAATTCTTCCTTTTGCCGCCCCAGGAAATCCCGACCTCCTTCCAGATTCTATTCCCAACAGCAAGACACTTGTGCCCTGCAATATCGGCAATGAGAGCTCTTCGAAGGGGTTTTTCAACTCGGCTCATGGGTCGTTCCGCTGCGACCCGGGTTATATTTGCAAGGGGTACTGGGAAGGTCCCAATTTCGGCATCACCAGCTTCGACAACATTGGCTACGCGATGCTCACTGTCTTCCAATGCATCACCATGGAAGGCTGGACGGACATCATGTACATGGTCAGTTATTGATCCAATTTTGAGGCTCCCGACCAGACCGATCATGGCCATCTCATTTAAAATTAAACCTTACTGGATTGCGGATTTGCTAAACCAAACGGCCATGTCCCCAGAGGCGTCCAAAATCCCGACAGCCAATCAAAAGCAGAGAGCACAATTAAAATGGCGAGAGCCAATAAAATGAGAGCACAGCTGATCTGACCATCGGAAATTGCGTGCAGTAAACGGAAAGTAACAAGCACCGGGGAATGCTGATTCCCACAAGCCTAAGTGCTGCACTGAGAGGTAAATTTAGTGCTTGCTGTGGTCACTGATTAAAAATTAATCTCCCACTCTATTTAAAAATTATTCTGGTATCCATGGCCACACAGATTGAGTCCCCAGCAGTTTGGGGAAGTAAGCGTCGTGAGCAAATGTGAGGCGGTGGTTTTTAGCTGACCAATAATCAGGTAATTTCGCATTTCTTTATTTTTTAGACATTTGACGCTGTTGGTGATCGATTCAGTGCCTTCTACTTCGGACCCCTGATCGTGCTCGGCTCCTTCTTTATGCTCAACTTAATTCTCGGCGTTTTGAGCGGGTGAGTTTTCTCATAAAGATGCCCCCATCAAAATTTGGAACTTGATTGGTAATTAAATGACCGCAGTGTGGGGTTTCTTTAAAGCCTGCGTCTGATTGGTCTAGTGGGCTCATGTGGGAACCAATCAAAATCGACGACCTATTGATTGAGGTCTCACGTGCGCACGCGTGCATTGTACTTGCAAGGTGAGTCATGCGCAGTCGATTTGGGGTGGACTGTGAATTCAGGCGATAGGTGACCAAAAATTTAGAATCCTTGTTGAAGTAACCTGTGTGATTGTGGTCTGCGAATTCTACTGCTATAATTGGTCAATGTTTGTTTAAGTGAATTTGCCAAGGAGAAGGAACGGGTCGAGAAGCGACGAGCATTTCTAAAGCTGCGAAGACAACAACAAACCGAGAAAGAATTTGGTGGTTATATGGACTGGATCCAGCACGCAGGTTGGCCAACTCCTTCTTTTGACGTTTAACGAAAGATGATAGCTTTTATCACTGTTTTTACGTTTGTCTTTCAGAGGAAGTGATTCTAGCCGAGGACACTACATCGGCGGAGGATCGAATAAGAATAATTGCAGGTGAAAAACGTTATTGGGGGAAATTTTATTCGCCAATCATCATTTAGACTGAAACTTAGCGATTTAACTTAATTTCAGATTCGATCTACTTGGTTTTAAAGTGCAACCCTAGATTGGCACAAAATCTTTGATGTGGTGCCTTGACCAATCAGCTTCTAGAGACGATATGTGACCACACGATCGATTCAGTGACCTCAATTACGCGGTTTGATTAGTGCGCTTAGAACGTAGAGCCAAAAAACATTGGACTTACGAAAGTGGTAAACATCGAGTGAGTTGGCTGTCTTGATTTAACGCTGAAAAATAGTCACGCTCCTCTGATTTGTTTCAGCTCGAAAGAGGGCACAAAAGGAGGTAAGCAAAAAGAACGCCAGGGATTCTCAAGGTCATGATGTTAACTTCGAGGATGCTGATTTATTCTCAGATAATAAGGGTGAGTCAATTTGTTTTATCAGACAACCGTAAATTTCGTAATTCCTGTGTTTTCATTCCAAGTCCGCTTACATTTGGACTTACACTATGACAATCGATCACGCCATGACTCATCAGTTGCCTTGCTATTCATGCTTGGATTATCGATCGCATAGTGACTCGTGACTTAACTATTGGTCGCGCCGTCACTCATGCATTGATAATCGATTAAGTCGTGACTCATACTTTGAACATCGATCAGCCAATGACTCAGGCTTTGATCATTAATCATATTGCAATTGGTGATTTAATTTTCGATTGCTCCGGGATTCATGCTTATATACTTGGTTTCCCTGTGATTCTTGTTTTGTGTGGAGCCAAACACAACCCGACATGACAAGAAGGGTCAAAACATCGACACTGGTTGCCACCACATAAACAAAACTTATTGATCGGCCCTAGAATCACTCATACCCGTCATAATGACAGTTGTTAAGTTATCTCCTTCAGGGTGGTTTGTGGTAAATGGCCTCGTTTTGTGAATTTAATTATTTTTGCTCTCGCTAGGAAACGTATTTAACCAGCACGGATTACTTTTGAGGCAAGGCAGCGGACGGTTTGAAGCTTGTTGGAGAAATGAAAGACGGTTTCGGTGAGTAGTCAACGAATACTAGCCCCTTACTGTGACTCATCGAGCTAAATTTTTGGTAGCATCGTTCTTCCCAAGAATATGACCTTCATTTACTCTGCCAACACCAATCTGGTGCTTCCGCTTGTTTTAATGGACTTTCTACCGGTAACTAAGAGTTGAGGTCAATTTAAGCCAAAACACTAGTAAAACAAAACGTGGATTGACTGATAATACTTCACTTTCCAACAGGGCATCATGAAAATCACACGAACTACTCGAATTATGCGTAGTCGTTGTGTTATTGCTAAATACGTTATTGGCCAATCAGATCGATTCATCGTCAATTTTGTGCGTGTGTGTGTGTGCAGGTACGCAGTTCGACGATTGGCCAAAAGCCAGCTAGCCTATTGGAGCGTCATTGTGCTAGTCTTCTTGAACACCATCTGCGTCGCCATCGAACACTACGGCCAACCAGCTTGGCTGACCAGTTTTTTGTGTAAGCAATTCCCTCTTATCGGTTTCTGGAATTGAGAAGCGATTTATTGGGATTTAAACCAATCATGTGACCAAATCGATTCAAAAAAGAGAAAATCCTAGTCCTCCTAGTACTCATTTTTGTTCACCGTTTAGTCTCAAACTTTATCGGCATCGTTTATGCAACATACAAGCTTAAATCTGATTTAAATCGGTATAGTACTAAAAATCTCTTCGCAAGTAGCAGCGGTGGGTTAGATTTAGAGGGCTTCCAACTCAAGGTGAGGCTGTGAAGTGATTAAAACAAAAATGCCAATAGTTTTTTTCAAAAATTCGTTCGATTTTTACTGGTTTCCTCATTTCCCCTCCATCAGTCAATCGTCGACAAGCGATTAACCCATGACTTTAGCACAGCCGGCCCTTTTGCGCAAGAATGCGCTGTTCAAATGCTAATCGTCCTCCAGACTCACGAAAACACCGAAATCCCAGGGGAATTGTCGCATGACTGCCCTAAGACGGTAATCGGAAAAACACATCCCGGTTAGCAAGTGCGTGAGCGCGATTTGTAAAAGTTTCAAGACAGAGTCCTCTGTCTAGTTTGCATGATTGATCTAGGCAATCGACTATATGGAACTGTTTCTCTGCATTTTAATTGGTTTATTTAACGAAGCGGCGATAGAGTGCGAAATGCTGACGCACACAAGTGGAAATTTGGAATCTTGGATAAATATCACTTCAGGAATATCAGCCCACATTGTATCCTAGGCAAGACTTCGTAATAATTACAATCATTCTGAGAAATTTTGAGAACTCAAACCCTCAATCAGCCATCTCGAGCGGCAAATTAAACCCACGGTTTTTACTAGCAGTCATTTTTAAAGACATTTTCCCTTTTCATAAGCTTCAACCTGTTCCATAATGTTGGCGGTTTTGATATTGAGGGATAACGTGGACAACCGCTTGATAAAATAAAACTATCCAATCTCATTTCAAGATTCGCAGGAATATTAGCAGCCAATGATGCTGCCGCTTTCATAACCAACTCATTTTATCGTGTTTCGTGATTCCTCTGTTTTTTTGCTTTTTTTTCTATTTAGATTATGCTGAGTATGTCTTTCTTGGACTCTTCATGACTGAAATGCTCCTGAAGATGTATGGCCTTGGTTTCCGGCTCTACTTCCAGTCGTCATTCAACATATTTGATTGTGTGGTAAGTTATGAATCGACAAATAGTGCGCTTCAGTGTGATGAGCCAATACGATGACGGCGGCAGGTTTAAACAAACAAAGTGGTGTGCAAAGCACAAAATACAGTAAAAAAGAGCTTAAATTGCCAAATGTAACAAAAGTAGGCAAATTTTGCAGATTGATTACTTTATCAGTATTCCTTGTTTCTTAATTAAATCTTACACAACCTAAATGAACAAAGAGAACTTTAATTTCGTTTAAAATTTAGGATCCAAACAAGACTCTTACTCTAATTTCACTAGGTTATCATTGGAAGTCTTTTTGAGATTCTATTGGCACTAGTCCAGCCAGATACGTCGTTTGGGATCAGCGTGTTGCGTGCGTTGCGGCTCCTTCGAATCTTCAAGGTCACTCGGTAAGTTTAAACAAGCGGCATCCGCATCACACAGCATCATTAATGTTTCCCCGTACTAAACTCACACCTCTCCCTTGAAAAAACAAGATCAAACACTTCAAAGTATGTTTTTTTGTTTAAATTATCTTTTATGGCGGAAATTCGAATGTTTAACCTGGGACATCCAGGGAAGGGGCAGAGACGGACGTACAAAACAACCCAACTCCCCAAACATCCTGTTCCACATTCCTTTGATTTATTTCCTATCAAAAAGAACGCCTTTAAAACGTCATCAGCCCCTAGTTGCAATCAGTAGCCACGCTAGAACGACATTTTAATGACTCTGGCCCAGCCAGCGTTTGACGGTTGCCAGTGGTGACAGTGGAAATTGTTTAAATTGGTCTAATTACACAGCAATTAATTGCCAGATGTTAGACGCTATGATGATGTCAGGCTACCGCCGTCTCAGCGTTAGGTTGCTGGGGGTGACACAAGTGGCTATTGATTGGTAGACGGTGAGGTGGAATGAGGTGTCTCTGAAATTCCCCCTGTCTAGCACTCCCGGTTCCTTGACTGGGGATTCCATTCACAACCATGGAGTGGCCGTTGAGGGTAATCAAGTGAAGTTCCTTTTTTTCCCAGGTACTGGGCAGATCTGCGGAATCTGGTCCTGTCGTTGTTGAGTTCAATGCGGAGCATCATATCCCTCGTCTTTCTCCTCTTCCTCTTCATCCTCATCTTCGCGCTTCTTGGAATGCAGCTCTTTGGTGGCGAGTAAGCAATTCACACAACTCGATTTTCGCTTCAGTTATGTTTCAGTTATGTTCAAGAAGCACATGAAGGTGATTGGTAGCTGCGCCCGTGTCTATTTGTTCATTGGTTTGTTAAAGACCTCACTACATCCCACACATACACACATACCCCTCAATTTGTATCTCAACAGTGTTTAAAATCGATGGGTAGTTTGACTTTCCAACGCAGGCTTTTCACCTCAGACGGTGCGCGACCAGGTTTACCCGAATGTGATTGGTAGCTACGTTTACATCTGATCGTTCATTGGCTTATTCAAGAACCCGATAAATCCTCCCGCACATACACACGTACCCCTCAATTTGTGTATCAACAGCGTTATTACTGTTGTGGGGTAGTGTGACTTCCCAACGCAGTCCTTTCACCTCAGATGGTATGACGGCAGATTTTTCCCGAAGGTGATTGGTAGCTATGACTCTTATCTATTCGCCTATTGGCTCGATTTTTAAGGGACTTTAAGTGCCCAGTTTTTTACATTCTATTTTGTCTTTTAGATTCAACTTCGAGGAAGGGCTGCCACCGCAGAACTTTGACTCATTCGTGAAAGCTCTGCTCACCGTCTTCCAGGTACTTCGATCACTTTTGGACTGGTGTGATCGGCGAAAACACGAAACTAACTGAAGTCCAAGTTCTACTCTTGGTGATAAGCAAACTCATTCATAAAATTGGATTTTTTGGCTGGTCTAAATCTACTCTACTGCCTACTCAGCGATGTGGCAACCGATGATTGAGCAACACGAACGGTTTTATTGAATTCGAATGTGGATGGTGATACGGGACTTCCCAGTCCAACTCAAGGACGTCTTCTTACATGATGATGGAGCTATGAGATTATAGGTTACCATGCCGGTGCTGTTTCAACCAATCAGCTTTAAACCTTTCGAAGCATGAGTGGTGTTCCGTTATGCTTTCGTTGAGATTCGAAATGTCATTATAGGCAGGTCAACTGAAGTGTCGGTAACTTCTTGGACGAAGAGCAGCTTTTGGTGTCGCGAGTGACAATTCGTTGAAGTCAGCTGATGCCTTCTGTTCTCACGTGGTTCAGTTGTTTCAAACAACGCTGCGATTCTGGCCATAATGTTTCAAGGTCATTGTAACACACTCTCTCGAGTGCATTGCTTGGGGCGAATTTTATGGTAGTCAAGAAATTTAACGATACGATCCAGGCGTAACAAAAGCCTAATTTCGAATACAAATTTTCGCTAAAAGATGACGAATCGATGAAATCGATTTTCGCAAAATTCTTCCCTGTCACAAACATCGCACTTCTCAATCACATACATGGTTCTCTTCCACTCAAGTAGCAGCTGCAACACCCCTCCTCTCTTCCTCACCACGAATCCCAGCAAATATGTAATGTTTCTGCGTTCTCATGTACAGTCCAATCACGCGACCTCAACTGCCTTTCCTGTTCTCTCTGTAATACGATGCTGGGGAGAGGGGAGGCGGTAGCCTGTGTGTGGGTGTGCCAATGTCGTCACCTCCTGTTTAGCCAATCAAATTTATTGCCCACGTCGTTGCTGTTTTAGCGGTAAAGCCATCCGTGCAACAGCCCGTGTTTGTAATTCACCTCCGCCTTCTCTTGCCAGATTCTAACAGGAGAAGACTGGAACTCCGTGATGTACAATGGGATTCGCTCGCAGGGGGGCACAAATGGTGGTGGTTTCATCTACTGCATCTACTTCGTCCTACTGGTGCTTATTGGCAATTGTGAGTTCAAAGAGAGCAAACGTCCAATGGGGAACAACTTAGAGGGCTGATTGGAACCCCCTGTGTAGTTAAATGTTTTCCTCGATGATTGCCAGTCCCTGGACGAATCATGCTCAGTGGCTGCACCACACGTCGTTCTGATTGGCCTTTAAAGGTCACTCAAAATCTAACCAATCGGCATTTAGGGAGAAGATTTACGACTTCCTGCACACAAAAATAACATCCTTGCAACGAGAAATTTGTTGAAGGCCTGAGGTTAAGAAGACAAGAAGCAGTGTTTTTTTCGTTGGAGTCGAACACGATCGCAAAAACTATTAAATCACAAACGTGAATGAGTGTTAACCTAAATCACGTCTTCGTGATTTAACACGGCACACTATAAACCAAAAACTTTCCGATCAATCGAGGAGTTGATAAGTTTTCGATGACTAAAGGTAGTGTATCAAAGCAGGATATAGGCACAAAACCCTGTAATTTATTTAATGCCAAATCCACAGGCTAACGGATTAAAATCGATATTAAGAATTTAAAATCGCTGCCAATGAGAATAACGTCACTAAGTTGTTTGATTTCAACACGAGCGCGAGATTCGGATTGACCGCAAAGAATGCAGTTGTTGATGCTGATGCTGATGATGATGCGGTAACATCCAGCACCGTTTTGGCAGAAGGTACTGAATCGTTGTCTTGATAATTGCACAATCGAGCAATGACCGATTGTCAGAACGACTTCCGGTTGGCGATAATTCCTCCAGGCTGCAAATTTAGTCATGCTCTTGTCACTTTAGACGAGTACATGGCCGCCCAGTTTAGTGCACCATTGTGATTTCTGAATTCAAATCTCCCACCCAAGTTGACGTTTAAAATTGGCTAGGAAATCGTTTAAAACAACTCTATGTTTGAGCAGGCAGAATCTGAGGGTAACTACAGCAAGTATTTGATTCACCGAATTAGCAGGAGTTGTAGCCGTGTTGCAGGACCGTTTTAGGTGAAAGTTGCGTTGTGAAGAATCACGCTGATTGGTTTTTTACCTAATCGCTTCAGACACTCTGCTCAACGTGTTCTTGGCCATTGCTGTGGACAATTTGGCCAATGCCCACGATCTCTCAGACGCCGAGCACGCTGATCAAAAGGAGGAACAGTCGGTAAGTGCTGCTGTCTTGTACCTTCGGATCTCGCGAGTTCAAAGTTTACAAGGTACTAAAAAGTTACAGCTAAAGGACATAAGTGTTCCAAAACTTACTTGTGATTGGTCAATTTAATCGAATCATTCAAGAAGGCCATGGATTCTCGACGTTAGACGCCATTTCCAACTGTCAGTGGGATCCTAGCTCTGTGGAATGCTGCCTAAAGTTAAGAAGAGGCAAATTGGAAACTTTCATTCTGAATTCTGTGACTTTAGATAAGAAATGTCGTGTTCTGTCTGCCAATAACACCTGCATAAAGGGATTTAATGGCGTCGTTTGCTCAAAACACACCAGTCCACAACTAAATCGGGCGGTTTCTTGAGCTTGTTGCTCTACTACCGTCATGGATTCTGTTGCTTTGGCAGAAAATTACACTTTTACCTAAGTTTGAGAGCTCAATCAAAGAGGCCGATCAGCAAGCACAATAGGACTGCTTTTTCGTTCACTCAATCATCATCACGATCACTGTTGTCGTCTGCATTGCTTGCCTTTTCCGGCATTTAATTGACCTTTTTACTACCTGAAAATAGACTCGTTTGACAAGATTTAATTGCTGCATTGGCTGGACTTTGTACTCTCATTTAACAGCCATCCACCAGCAAGTCAAATTTTTCTGTTGTTTTGACTCACTTGTGTGGCCACACGCAGCCTGAAAGCGCAGCGTGTGGGGTGGGTATCAGCAAGAGATGATGCAGTCGGCTTTTTAACGAAAATACCTCTGCTTCTGTAGAAATTACCAGAAATAAGTTATCACTTTACTGTCTAGTAGGAACCGTGGAACCTCAAAACACGAAGATTACGGCAAAAATTCGATATGGATCTCCGAGGCTGGAACATGCTTCGCTCTGATTGGTCCTTCAAGGTCACTCCTTATCCAACCAATTAGAGTGGAGCAAAAATATTTGTATCGCACAAGTAGTTTGGCATAGATTGTGCAAACTCGGTTGCACTACGCTATTTTTAAAAAAAAACTTCATAGAGGATTTGAGATTTCGCCAGTCTTGCTGTCGTATATGTACACACCTGAAGTGGTCACTTTTGTAAAATTTTACAGAAAGCAGCCAAAGCCCAGGGATTGGACCCGTCCAACCTGGACCTTAGTGACCCCAATGCAATGCACCTGCTGCCATGGATTCGAACACCAACGAAAGAGAACAGTTGCCCGTGTTTTTCCGCGTAAGTTTTCAGAGACGCAGCACCATGCTCAACCTTAAGTCTTGTGATGATGACGCTGGTGACGATTCATCGTCTCGGTTCAACCATTCGCATTTGTACGAACCAGTCCATCATCGTCCATCAGCAAAGCCAGACACCGAGGATATTCCAGCTCCTAACCAACACGCAATATTCGTTTTTTCTTCCCAGCGATCCATTGAACGCGGTGGAACGAACGTCTCAACTTGGCGATCCAAAGGCCAATGGCAATTTTCTGTCAACCCCGGACAACAAACAACGTAAGTGGCATTCGATGTGACCCACTTTAGCGTTCGGATTGAGCAAAAAAGGCTAAATTTGATCTGGAAACCCTGGCCTTGGTTTCAACAAGCACATCTACTCGCCTCATGAAAATGTCAATTCACTTTTTTTATTGTGTGAAGTAAGAAAAACGCAGAACTGCATCTCGTTTGAAAGCGACGAAACAGGTCAGCTGCAGGACTCGGAAGCGGCAACGCACGGGAAACCCGTTTTGCCCTACAGCTCGATGTTCATCTTCGCGCCAACCAACGGGTACGCGGCGTTGTGATTGGTCGCTTTAAATTTGTTTAAATATTTCGGTCAGATTTAAAAGTCACAATTAGTAAAAAGACGGTAGTTAATTGTCAGCATCTGGGACAATGAAGTCTCGGAACCAGTCATAAAATGCAATGCATAAGTACCAGGCAGCCACAAAAGTGTTTTGTTTTGTTAAACTGCTTCTGGGTGGCGCCAAAAGCAAGTCTTGGAGATTCTTTTTGCGATTTTAGCAGTGCTTTCTTTTCCCACAAAAACCGTAAGGCTCTAGATGTTGACATTTGACCTCCGCAAGCTCAAAAGCTTTTGTGAGAGACACGATTCTAGTTCCAGACAACCGACACCCACTATTCGGAACTGTAAATGTTGAAGTCGATTGGGACTTGAGCGGAAACCATGTCTGAAGCACTAGAGACGCCGTTCTCGCGAATTCGGCGCTTGCTTGAACTCCAAAAGGAGATTTTCTGCTAGCCTGTAGTGGTCCTATGTGGCTAGACGCTTAGCTCGGGCTTATCATTGCTGGATCTTGCCATATGCCACCCAAAGCCTGGGGATCCGCGCGCATAAGACCATCTGTCACTAAGACGGGCCATATAACTCACGAAAACGCATTATTGGTAGTAGTCAAACAGAGATTGGTTTTATTCGGTTGTTAATTTGGCCTGAAAAGCAGCGTATTTTCCGGAAGAAATAACGTTTTTTCTAGCCGTAGATTGGTGTTTATCATCTACAGTGACGTAAACAATGCCTAGTGGAGGAATTTAAAAACATTACTTTGTTTACCGCATGCAGAAAAATAGCGGAACGTTTCGTGAGGGAAAAGTATATTTGAGCCTGGAGCTTTGTTTTGACCATGGTTTTCCCGCCAACAAGCCTTGGACACGTTCAGACCTTCTAAATAGAATATACGGACGTCTCTACTAGCAGTTCTCCCGGTGTTTAAGCCTTTTTCATTACCATGTTGCCTCGTCGGCATTTTGGCCACATCCTAGACAATGATGCTTAGTCTGGTTGTGTTGCGAAAGTTCATTGAATGCTTCCATTGATGTCGAGTAATCTCTTATAATCAGCTTTGACAGCCAATAAGATAGCACACTCAAGGCGAGAAGTGAGCCAATGGGAGGCATGGGCGGTCAATTTGAAAAATGCCATCTAATGTGCTCGGCAATTTCAAAGATTTGACAAATTTGGTCGAGAGATATTGGCAGCTTCCATTAAAGCTCGCTGAGTTAATTACATCTTTCGATCCCCTGTTGAAATTCCTTCGTACCAATTTAGCACACTTTAAGGAACACTGATTGGTTTAAAATGAACCAACCTGATTGACACAGGTGGTCAGGGTAATGCACTTTGAAAATCTTACCATCAGAGTTGCCTTTTCGTGTTATTTAGCATTCGGCGTTTCTGCCACTTTGTGGTAAATCTGCGTTACTTCGACCTCTTCATCATGATTGTGATCTGCGCCAGCAGCATCGCGCTAGCCGCTGAGGATCCAGTTGCCGAGAACTCGACGAAAAACAAGATTTTAGAACACTTCGACTACGCCTTCACCGGTGTCTTCACCGTGGAGATGGTCTTGAAGGTGACTTGGCGATTCCTCCAGTTGTATAACCTGTCTAAATCTGTTTAAATCGGAAGTGGCGACGACTGCCTGTCTATGGGATTTTGACTTCAAAAATCAATTTTGAGTTAATTAGGTTACCGCTGCGAATGTTTTTGCCCAAAAGAGAACTTGATTTTTATGCATATCAAACCAATTTCACAGATTATTAGCTGTGGAAATGGCAAAAATGAGGATAGAAGTTTCGCGATTTACCTATAAGTTTCATTGTTAGAAGTAAACAAACTAGTCCAGATAAACACAACTGCTTGGGTGGTTGACGTGAGTTTTCCTGTATAGTAACACACCTATCCCAAATCGATTGAGTAGGGAAGAATCGGCCGATTCTTTTGTAGGTGATTGATTTGGGCGTGGTTCTGCATCCAGGTGCCTACTGTCGAGATCCCTGGAACATCCTCGACGCCATCGTTGTGTTCTGCGCGCTCGTAGCCTTCACAATGAAGTAAGTCTAGACTCCACTGTCTTTCTCATCTCTCATTTCAAATTCAAATCACACAACTGACTAATTAAGGCGAACGAGTCTGATTTTCTATCGTCTCATTGGCCACCCTTAGATGTTCGTGCAGTTTTAAAGTCTTATAGATCCAGTTACAATTTGCTGCCTGACAAATCTTGCTTCATTTTTGCCAGCTTCGAAAAACCCTGTTATCTTGTTTTAGCCGTAACGCGGTTCGCCTGGGGTGAGTTGGTGTCTCTCGGTGTTTTCACGTATTTTATGACTCTATGTGTGTCCCCCCCAGCAAAGACCATAAATTCACGTATGTAATCGGCCTGTTTGCTAACTATCAGGGCCTATTTACTCGAGCATTAAACAGAGAACAGATGTTGTTATAGTTAATTATCAAATGCAAATAGCCATAAATTTGAATTTAATTACACTCAACAAAAACATTTCATTGGTTGAGCCACCGGGGGGTTGGTGGGGGGGAGGATCGTGGTTGGCAGAACGTCAGTCAATCCTATTTGGATCCAACCAATAGGATTTGTGCGCGGGCGATTTGAACCGGTGTGCATTGCTGTTACTGGTGTCTGTCTACATGAGTGTTTCTAGTACTTTATACTTTATTAATATTTTATTGATTTTTTTGGGAATATGACTAATTCGACATGCGTTACATTTCAGAAAACCTGCAACCAGCGCCTCAGCCAAAAATTTGAACACCATCAAGTCGCTCAGGGTTCTGCGTGTCCTTCGTCCCCTCAAAACCATCAAACGCGTGCCTAAGCTAAAGGTACGAAGAATTTTGATTGGTTGATGAGCTTTGCATCACACCTCTACTGTTTGAATTGACTGATCGATGAGGTTCAGCTCAAACATAGTTGACCCACTTTTTTTAATTTTTTTCTCATTTAAGGCCGTCTTTGACTGCGTAATCAGTTCCCTACGAAATGTCCTCAACATTTTGATCGTTTTCGTACTCTTCCAATTCATCTTCGCTGTTATCGCGGTGCAGTTGTTCCAGGGTAAATTCTTCTACTGCAACGACGCTTCAAAACTAACGCGGGACGAGTGTCAGTAAGTTGGACAACCCAGTCGCCCGCCACGTTTTTTCGTTTCGTCGTGGAACCAAGTGTTTCAAGCATCTGGCATGGTTTCTTAGGAATTTTAGCATTCGAAATACGTATGACAATCAGTGTTTAATCGTCTCAAGTGAAGCGTAATTCTTAATGATTCCAAGAACCGCTCTATCGCTGCTTCAGACAACGCAAAATGCTCTTTTATCCATACCAGGGATAACCACGTCGAATTGGGTATCTTTACGATGCCAGGTGTGAACCAGTCAATGTCAAATTCTTTCTTGAATAACCCTGGTCCTCTGTCCAATCAGGACTCAACTCCGGGACCCCCTCGGACCAATCAAATTTCTCCATTTAAGTGGAATCGTGTTCCAATGTTTTTTTCGTCCTTATTTTGACAGGATCTGAAGGATAGCGCCATTAAAAACGATTTCTGGACGCTTCCTCTGTGTTGTCAGTATCCGTTGCTTCTTTTTCCTCATTTTTAATGCATATATTGTTATGGTAACCGGATCCACATCCAGCGTTTCAAATCGATTAGGATGAGCCAATAAACTTCGTCCGAAATTCTCTTTTGTAATAATGCAGTTTGGAGGTGCTTGAGAATGCCTTTATTTCCACAATAGATTCGCTTTAAAGAATCAGCCGATCCTTATCGTTGTCCAGGTAATCTAACGTGAATTTCTTTGTACGGATTTTACTGAAAGTGTCCTTAACTCAGTTCTTAGGAAAAATCGTTGCCCGCGCTTGAGGACTTTTTACCACGAATTAACAGATCACGTGCTTCCAGTTCCCCCAGTGTTTCATTTCGAAGTCGTTCACTCGGCCCCACTATTTAACCGTTTCAGAGGCCAGTTCTTCGAGTACAACGCCGATGGCGTTCCCTCGACAGTCTGGCGTGAGTGGAAGTCCCACGGATTCAACTACGACAACGTGTACTACGCCATGTTGACGCTGTTCACAGTGACAACAGGCGAAGGCTGGCCGGGGTACGTGTGTGTGTGTGTGTGTGTGTAAATCTTGACAACCAATCAAATCACACATCTTAAACGCTTAACTTCAATCTAGGGTGCTGAAGAACTCGATGGACGCCACTCACGTCAATCAGGGTCCCCTAGAGGACTATCAGCAGCAGGTGTCCATCTTCTACATCACCTTCTTTGTCGTCTTCCCCTTCTTCTTCGTCAACATCTTCGTCGCGTTGATCATCATCACCTTCCAGAAGCAAGGCGAAAATGAACTCATCGACCTTGAACTCGACAAAAATCAGGTAAGCCATAGGTATTTGGTTAGTATAGTTCAAAGTTCCCTTACGTATCTCGATTTAATGGACAAGCCTGCTTACTTCAAAGAAAACCTCACGTTGAATGGGTAGCTTGAAGGTCACCCGATCTCAGCCAATCGCTTTGGGCTTTCTAATGCTGTTTTCTTGTTTTGCTCTTTGGGGTTAATTCCCCATAGAAACGGTGCGTAGACTTCGCGATCAACGCCCACCCACTGTGTAGGTACATGCCGAAGGACAAGCGCTCGTGGAAGTACCGCATTTGGCGTCTGGTTGTCTCCACACCCTTCGAGTACTACATCATGGTCATGATCGCCCTCAACACCCTCATCCTCATGATGAAGGTGAGTTGAGACTGTATACTATCACCTGATTGGCTGTCAAGTTGCTTTGTTGTCTTCTCATTGGTGGGTTTGCAGACTGCCGCCATTGTCTTTTGCAAAAAATCGATCATGTTCTCGATAGTCGTGGTTTCTATGTCGAATATCGACACAGCGTGTAGTGTGTAACAATTTTCCTATAACACGCCTGACATTCGATTTGGCGACCCGATTTTCCAGGCTTGTACCTCACCACTTGCACAAAACTTGTACGTTTTCAACATTCTCTAATCATATTATGGTGTTTGTGAAGGTAAAACAATTTTAATAAGTACTGGTAATGATGCGACTACAGTCACTGCGGTCGAAGAAGATTTCGCTGGAAAGTTTGTAAGACGTTAGACGAGACAATTTTTGCTACCAGTTAACAGATTGTGGCGTGTTGAATTCGGAGATTATCGAATGAACAAACTGCATGTCAGAGGGTGATTGTAGTCCCTGCGATTCTGCGGCTGAAGCACTAGTTGACTTCTCAAAAAATCCTTTTAAACAGTCATTGGTTTTTGGGACTACAAGGCATTATCGTAGGTGGAATTGAGACCCGTCAAGAGCAATTTTAAATCAGCAGTCACCCAGGCAGATTTCGCGGGGTCACGGTCACTTAAATGCCTTTTAATGTCCTCAACCTCATCGCAGTTTGTAAACCTCCCACGCGTCACCTCCCATTAGGCGCAACGGCCGGTGGTCGGAGTCTACTTAAATCGCTCCTTGGCGATTTCAGTAGACTTCGATTACTCGAAGCAGGATGTGGCTGGGTGGTGATGGCTCCAATTGCTCTCTTTCAGTACCATCGACAGGAGCGACGTCCACTGGTGGCGACGCACATCGACACGGCGCAGCAAAACTACCACAACTACTGCAACACTCTAATCTTCCTCAACTCTGCCTTCACCATCATGTTCTCCGTGGAGTGCGTCCTCAAGATCATGGCGTTCGGACCGAAGGTGAGTCATCTGGGAGATCTCAGCGTGAAATAGATATCGATTTCTAGTGGTACTAGCTAATCCCTCTACTTGCCTCTTACCCTGGCCGTTTCCAGAACAAAATTTAATTGAGATTCCCATCATTGGTCAGGAAAAGCTCAGCCTGATTGGCTGGTTGTGAAGACATCGGTTATTTTGAGCTTCATGCAACCTGCTAATAAATTAATGCAGACTTTACAAGACTGTAAACGACATTCATTTAATCGACGAATGTTTTAAAAAGTAGTTCATCTTTGAACTGACGGTAGAAAATTTGGAGAATATGGATGGTGAAACGGGATTTCCCAGTCCAATTCAATGGCGTCTTCATACGTGATTTCGGGGTTGTGAGATCATGCGTCGTCATTCCAGGGCTACTTCGACCAATCGGCTTTAAGCGTTTAGAAGCATGGTGATTTGTCTGCTAAGTGGTGTTCCCTTATGATTTCGTAAAGATTCGAAATGTCATTGTAGCCAATAAGACGGTACCGACCATCCAATAATGAATAAATTTTTTATAGCACATGGCTGACATTTTGTAAAATTTTTCTTTAATGCTTTTGCAAAGTTTCGAACTAAATACATTTCTGATTTTTGACAACATAAAAGTTTTGAACTAGCAAGCTTTTTTACCTTAAAAACACGTTCAAAAATGATTCTTCCACCTTGACGTTGTCATAGTAGCTCCAACGTTGTCGGCCGGCTCTGATCATATTTTAAATCAAAGATTTACAAAATTAAAATGTGTCATCAACAAAAGTTAAACTGGTGCATATTTCGCTAAGAAGACAATGGAAGCACCTGGGACACAGACGTCAGATCTGAAACCTAATTAAATTTCCCGCAACAGAGTTTATTGATTGGACGCCTGAGAAAGGGCGTTACGCCATTGGTCCAAGCATTGGCCAATCAAATGTAAGCCTGATATTTGCTTGAAAGAACGGCGTTAAGTTGTTTGTAACCGAGCCTACGTGGCAGGATTTTGAGTCACAATCAGTTCCTGGTTTTGTCCAGAATAGAAAAAATTCCGTATCCCTCCTTTCAAGAAATTTTGACAATATTGGCGCCTTTTAAATTCGTAGTACTTTTATCGTAAATCCAATGCAGTGGTGACCGGTACGCTCACATTATACTTGCTCATAAGATCAATAATTTAGCTCAAATTTACTCTGCGTTAACCAATTCGTTGTTGTACTTGTTGTTGTTGTTGTTTTGAGGTCATGTTTTGTTCAATGTGTCACCAACGATCGAAATCATGGATTTAATGACACTTAATTTTCAATTTGACCTCACGGGCGTACCGTAAATGATGTATTCTAACTACCCAAATTGCAACACCACGCCGCCATTTGTCGAGCTAAGTATATCCAGTCCAGAGACTTAGATGTTTGTTTAAATACTCTCGCGTTTAATTGCCAGCCCTTTATTGTCCCCTGAGAGCATAATTACACCAACCGCCACCGCTAACTAACCACTAAACTCCTTCTCGCTGTCTTGCAGAACTACTTTCGTGATAGGTGGAACATCTTTGATTTCATCACGGTGATCGGAAGCATCACTGATGTTCTAGTCTCCGAGCTGCAGGTTAGTGGATATCGCTTTTCGATATTGGGATTCCCAGTCACCAAACAACACAGACAGTTTGCCGATTTTTTAATCATCATCTTTTTCCAGCAATCTGCCTTCTTGAGCCTCGGATTTCTTCGACTCTTCCGTGCTGCCCGACTGATCAAACTGCTGCGCCAAGGCTATACAGTTCGAATTCTCCTGTGGACGTTCATTCAGTCCGTGAAGGCACTGCCCTACGTCTGTCTGCTTATTGTCATCCTTTTCTTCATCTACTGTATCATCGGAATGCAGGTGAGTTTGCTCTGTCTCCAGTCCTGATTGGTCGACGTCTTCCTCGCCGCTGATTGGCTGATCTTGGACTATGTGAATTTTAGGTGTTCGGAAACATCAAGAACGACCCAATGACCCAAATGAACAATCACAACAACTTCCAAACTTTTGGCAGCGGCATTCTGCTGCTTTTTCGGTAAGTGTTCCATTCTTCTCTCGGTATGGTGTAGTTCCAACATTTATTGATACTTCGATCGGTGGCATCGGTGTTGTTTGTCCGCGTAGATGCGCGACCGGTGAAAACTGGCAGGAGGTGATGTTGGATTGCGACGCGGGACGCGAATGCGAGGGCTCGGGCACATCGTGTGGCAGCAAGGCCACGTACCTCTACTTCGTCACCTTCATCTTCCTCTCGTCCTTCCTCATGCTGAACCTCTTTGTGGCGGTCATTATGGACAACTTCGACTACCTGACGCGCGACTCCTCCATCCTTGGACCGCATCATCTGGACGAGTTCGTGCGCGTTTGGGCGGAGTACGATCCAACTGCTCGGTAAATCTCACTGCCCCGTCATTCACACTGGAACGCACACTCGAACTGACTCACTAATCGATACAAACATGACGGTGCAGGCACGCTGACTCATCGATCGATATTGCCGTTTGAGCGCGTGTGCGTGTGCATTTGAGTCCTACTCAAAGGCATTATCGATCGTCAAATCCTCATCGATTTGACGTCTTGGCATTTAGTGAAGTTTCGGTGCAAACTACAGTAAAAAATCGATAATTTATTGATCAATTACGGCTTTGTGGATGTCTGTAGGCCGCCACATGTTGAAGCTCTGGTATGAGTCACGACTTCCGATTGTGGAAGTCTGTAAGAGGGATTACGAAAACCAGAGACGATGGCGATTGATAACGAGAATTTATGTTGCAAAGTGCTGAATAAAATCGATATACTTATCATCCATGGATTGTCTCAAGGTCAACGTCTGATGATGCGCAATCGTACTTCATTAGGACACGCTAAGCACCGGTTTGGAAGGCACAAAATCGTTTTGTTTAATACAAATCGCCTTAAATGGCGCCAAAATATAGCTTTTGAATTCTTCGGTATCCTCATTCCTACACAAATTTCAGTGATCTTTCACAAATATATGAAGTGGGTGCCAATGTGTCACAGATTGAAATCCCATCATTGTATTGTTGTTTTAACCTGCAACTTCCAAACATTTGCCAAATTAGATCGTTGTGTCACAAAATGCTGCCCTTGTCAATACAAACGTCTTCACTGATGAGAATTCCAGGTTTTCACAAAAAACCAACTTTTCAATAATCAGAGTTTTATGTGGAGTTTCTAGACGGTTAGAGACGTTCATGGTAGCTTCCTTTCTACTTGAGGGAAAATGCAACGCTCTTTCTCTTACAGCGGTCGGATACACCACAGTGACATGTACGAGATGCTGCGTAACATGGAACCGCCCGTTGGATTCGGTAAAAAGTGTCCCTACCGCCTTGCCTACAGGGTAAATTGGTGCTTTTTTTTCACAAAAACAACATATCACGGGGCTTCCTGGTGATTCACCAATCACCAACGTCCTGAATAGCTGGTCTAGCCAATCATGTGCAATGGAATTTCACTGTTGCAACCTGTGTTTTCACATTTTGCAGAAGTTGATTCGTATGAACATGCCGGTGGACGACAACGGAACAGTGCACTTCACAACGACGCTTTTTGCGCTAATTCGAGAGTCTCTTGGCATTAAGATGGGGCCGGCGGAGATCATGGACCAACGCGATAATGAGCTTCGCTACAGCCTGCTCAAACTCTGGCCGGTGCAAGCCAAGCGCATGATGAACGTCCTCGTTCCTCCGGACTCCGGTGGGTCGTCGCCTTCAATTTTGCCGCGAAGTTGGGATTGGTCGACTTGGAGGTCGTTAGATTAGCTAAACAAATGCAGAAAGGACAAGGTCATGACAGGGCTTGACTATTTGTGTAGGCAGAATCACTGCCAATTTTCAGCTGAAAGGCTGCTAGAATCGACAGAGCCGGTTTTGGATAAAAATGAGTGCATAGTAGTGCAGGTTATCTTGCACTTTACCAAAACCACTGAGAATGATGAAAATAGGCTTAGTGTCTGGAGATCAGAGGATCATCTTGACAAAGCTCTCAGGAGACTGGGTTTGGTTTAAGCTCTCTACGACGAATGCACGCGTTCTTCGGTAATAGTTATGTGCCACCATAACCACAACCCACTGACACCACCATTACCATCACAACCATCGCCACCACCACCGCCACCACAACCGTCACTATTGCCACCACCACCACAGCCGCCACCTCCTCTACCACCTCCACCTCTTCCCCCACCACCCCCACCACCACCGACACCTCCTCCTCCACCACCCCCACCACCACGGCTGCCACCATCACCTCCTCCACCACCATCTCCTTCACCACCACGGCTGCCACCACCACAGCCGCCACCTCCTCTACCACCTCCACCACCATCACCACCTCCACCACCATTACCTCCTCCACCACCACCATCACCACCTCCACCACCATCACCTCCACCACCACCGCCACCACTACCACCACCACCTCCTCCACCACCATCACCACCTCCACCACCATCACCTCCTCCACCACCGCCTCCACTACCACCACCACAGCAACCGCTACCATCATCTTTACTATAACCATCGAAATAAACAAGACACCATCGTTTCAAACCCGTTTGGTTGTATGTCACTGTCGTCATCGCAAAAACCGTTACGATTGTCACTTAGATTTTTAGCCTAACATTTATGCGCTAAAACAATTAATTTTCGCAAAATTGGATTTGATAGAATTTCTGTGTTTGCCTCCAATGTAGAACTTGTCTACCACAAAATGACCGTTGGGAAGATCTACGCGGGCCTCTTAATCCTCGAAAACTACCGTCTTTCCAAGCAACCGCACAGCAAGGACCAATCGGTGCGTTTCTTCTTTGGAGCGGTGTTTTCAAATTTCCACCGCACATGCAATTAGCCAATCAAAAATTGCCTGTGTGGGTCTCCATTTAAACAACATTTCCAAACAGTTGGTGTAGTTTTTGTTTTGACGTCTCGCTGGATTTCTGAGGTTCTATTGGGATACAGGTAAATTTTCACAAAAATATCAAGGTCATTTGTGTAGGGGTTTGCCCTCGTGGATGGTGAGTTCATCCTAAAACCATTTTTGAGTCATACTACCTACTTACATGTGTTAGTAGTTAGTTTATGGCAGGTTAACTTACTGTTTGGTGTGTTGTCCCAACAGTCACCAGCTCGAAGTTCATCTTCCTGCGGATCAAAGGTACTCCAATCTGGTGAAACTGGAATCATGTGTAGTCTTTATTGCCCGGAATTACTCACCTAACACCCTATTAATACCTCTCTACTACTCCTATTATACACTTATTGGGATGCGTTTGAATGCCCCTCTCTTGTGCGTTTTGGGCATGCTTTGTGTGCTGGGCAACGAATTCTTTCACAGATCTCCTCGTCCTGCTTTTTAATGCACTGCTGCATGACTGTTTATTCTCCCTAACCTACATACTACTTACATACTATTCAGTAGTTACTTATGTACTAACCAGACTTGTGTTAACCTTGTGCCTTCACAATTAGCCTTCAGACCAATCACCGGAGTCCTGCAGCTCCCCCGTCCACAAATTCGACTTAATCGCAAATCTACAGGTTCTTAGTAGTTTGGAATGATGTGTCACAGTAGACCGTCTTGTCCCGTAGGGCTCTTGTTCGGTGGTTTGTAGCGAACCCAATTAGTCGCATGCCCGCTTTTTTCTATCTGGTGGTTGGAGTTAGTTTGTTTTCCTGTTTGTTTAAATTACCTCTACCCGCCAATTGCTCGCTCTCTCTTTCTTGATTGGCTATTGCTTTTGGTTAGAAATCAGCTGATCTTCTGGCGCGGTTTTTCGGCGCTGTCACGCACAATGTGCACCGCTCGGCTAGGAATTCGGAAACCGAAGACGATTCCACTCAGTGAGTTGAAGAAAATGCCGCCACTTTTTGTTTAAGTGTGTTCTCCGTTTGTGATTGGTTTATTGAAATTTACGCTTTTTTTAGTACTGGCCGGTGGAAATCACCAACTAAAGGACTGATGAAGCGAGGCCCTAAAGTAAGGCATTGACAGGTATTAATAAATAATGACCCACAATCTTGCCTTCTGACGTATTTGCTGATTTCAGGCGCTGTCAACAGCCAAGGTTATCTCCATGACAACACAACCGGAGTGTACAAAGCCCCTTGTAGGACCCGAACACCAAAAGGCAGCTCCAACTTCAGCAGCCAATGAGGATAAAATCCCTCGGCCACCTGAGGCTGGTGAAACCGACAAGCCTCTTTCGTACGCCACCAATCCGAGCGATTTGTCCTCCATCGAGGAGGTTCAAGAGCCAATAGAACCGCCGTTCGGTTACCATCGTCATCATCACCACATCTACCATCACCAACACCACCACCACCAACCCCACTACCACCAAGTCTACCGTCCGGTTGTCGATTATACCCACAACACTATGGCAACGACCGCAGGGATCTGCCGTCCAGGTTTGTCGAAAACTCGTAGCGGTGGGCAACAGGCCCGTTACCATCGACTCACAAGCACTTATCATGGAATGATCACTCCTGGTGAGAAGCGGCCTCACGACATGTCGGAAAGCATATCATTGGGCTCCATCGGTGTGAAACAGCAGTCCCTGGACGACGCGGCGAGGATCTCCAGTCCTCCTGCTCCCAAGCGCATCATTCTCTCCAATTTCGGGGAGCTCGAAGACCAGGCATACTACGGTAAGGCGTCTTTACGTACGATTGGTTCAGCCTATCAGCTGGTGTTTTGGCGATAGCCAATCAACGCGTTATCAACAGCCAATCAGCAATGAGCTCGATTTTCATTGGTGGCGAATGGTTCGCATTTTTTCTTTAACAATCGTCATACTTACTGACAGTTATTTAAATGCTCCGCGAGACAGCGCAACTCCAGGAAGTTTGTTTAAATTAATTTGTGGCTCGAGCCAATTTTTTAAAACACTAAATAAGAGTTAAATTAGACATTCTTTTTCATGAAATATTTTTGTGCTTTATATTTGGTCTTGATTCGGTTTTCTGAAAATTCACGATCAGTTCACTTAATCGATTGCTTCGTTCAGGAAGATGCTGATGTTGTTTTAAGTAGTATTACTTTTATTGTGATTTCGCTTTGCAATTTAAGATCCCCAAGTTCAACCACCGGTTGTGCATACACAGCAACGCTTTCCTTCATCGTGGCAGTCGAACCCGAGCTCTGCCTATCCAGTCGTCCGCGTCTCCAACCTCGACAATCCCAACCGCACCTTCTACTCCCCGAGGCCTTTCAAAGAACACCATCACGGTGGCGCGTTCTTCAACACGCCCTACTCAAACCTTCCAGGATACCACGAGGAACTTTTGCCTCCTCGAGACGAACCTCTGGAGGAATGCGAATCCGAAGACTCCTTCGACTACAACGAACAAGCACAGCGGATGTCAGTGGTAGAACCGTCGTCAACAACACAACCATGTCTTTCTTCAAACCTAACTGCTGGTGGAGAGGGTCGTAGACCGCGTGCAGCGAGAAGGCCTCTTGTTATAAACTTTCCAAAAGTTGAACAATCTCCTACGAATTCCGACGAGATTGGTCCATTCGTTGACGACGATCATCTGGAGTCTGCGGAACCCCTACTTCCAACACCGGTTTCTTTCTATGATTCACCGGCCAGGCTCGCCACGTTCAACCAACCGCTGCTAGGACATGCACAACCCGTGGCGCAGCCTGGAACGGTTCTTCTTAGTCACTTCCAGCCCTATTCCCAGACCCAAGTAACCGCATCTGTCCCTTCCAACCCACATGCGTTGTCGACTCTATCCTACCAGCGACCTTCGTCGTCGAACGTTCTTCTTCCGCCTCCACCGGCTGCCACCTCAAACGTAAATCGGTCACTTGATTCCATCCCACTTCGATCCCGAACCACCACACAGCACCTCTTTGATGGCAACTTCACCACAGACTCCTCGATCCACAACCGGCCCACCTTCTACAGCCCACGTCATCTCTACCAGGAGTGACAGCCACACTTCCAGTTTCACTCCGATGGGCTTCCGTGTGTACACAGTGTGTGTGTGTACGCCGCCAACAATCCAACCACGGTCGTGTATGTAAAAATTCCAAGTGTGTGCGGACCAAGCATCAGTGATAAAGCGTTCTTGCTCGTGATGTTGATAGCACCAAAAGTTGTTAGCTATGTTGAAATAGTTATGCAACGCATTACAATTTGGTATGTATCGTTTTTGGCCATAAACGTCTCGACGCTGACGATAACGGCAAATAACTTGGACCTCTTTTCTCAAATTTGCAGTTAATTGCAAAACGGGAGGTAATTACTGACTCGTGAGTGTTTCCAGTCAACAAAAGAAAACTATTTAAAAGCACTTCTTCCCAAAATTTGAACAAAGCTCACTTGAAAATGTGGACGAGCTGTTTAGCCTGTCTGTTACAATGTCGTAAGTGTGGCGTTCTAAAAGCATGCTGTTTTCAATAAAAGTTTTCGTGTCGAAAAGGAATAGTACTAAGGGAGCTCATTCAAAGTTCGATTGTTATTTCAAGTTAAATTGTTATTTAAGGCCAGAGTATTGCTCATACAGGCCATGGCACTTGGGTTGTGGTCAGATGACTAGTAGGGCTTTAGAAAGATCTAGAGATTTTCTGGATCAGCAATTTGTTGATCCAGAAACTGCACAGGAAAAAAGTTAGTCAAAAAAACCAACAGCTGTCTATGCCAGTAACTGGGGGGAAATTGAGGCGGTGGTTCTTTAGGGCAGGCAGAAAACGCGGCAATGGGAGTTTAAGAGAGTCAAGTCAGTTAAAATCGGTTTCTTGATGACGCTCACGGTGATAAGTAGACATCGAATGATTGTTAGTGGCACCGTCGTCATTGGTGAAGAAGAAAAAAACGACATAAAATTGTTTAGCTGGTTACGGCCGGCAGTGCAAAGAAAAATGCAGAAAAGCTGATTGAAGCTCTGTTAAATGAACATCCTTTCCTGATATTTTGTTTGATTGACGCCGAATCTTGGACAAAATTGGCAGGATTTAGACCAGTAAATTAACAACTCAACTAAGAAGCAAGACAAAGCAGGGCATCCTTAGATTTGTTCTATGATGATAGCGGTGGACTTTTTTAGAAACTTGACGACGCCATAATAATCAAGAGAAAAGCTAGATTTACTCACCATGGAAATCATAAAAATGATACATGTTACAAAAACCAAAGTTCATTGTTTTTACTAGTGTCAAAATTACTTTTTATTAAAATTCCCATCATTATAATCCGTAAAAAGAATATAAGATTTTTTAGTGAATTACACGAGATCACCATCGGCAGGATGCATATATCTCAGCCTCTGAAACTTGGGTGGTTTAAACATACACTGAAATATTTAGCCCTCAGTATATGGTTCGCCTAGAAACAGTCACTTTGACTGTAGACAAAATTGATATTGTTGCTCCATTTTAAGATTGACAGCAGCAATTAGGGTCTAAATTATTTCATTCAAATGATCATGACGCCTGCTATTAGTTAACAGCTCACACTTTGACAGATAAATTCTGCAAAGAATATTTTCACTGTATTAATGTTTGTAAGGATTGTAATAATTAATTCATTTATTTGTGACTTTGCATTTGTCTCGAAAATGCACATATGCATGAAAAACTGTTGATGATGGAATAAAAAATCATAATGTGACCTTGTTGGCCTGTCTGTGTAGGTCACGAGTCCCCGTTTTTCGTGTATTTGGGGTGCGGATTGGACTTGCGTTTGCACCTGCGATACTTCTGGTGAATTTATATCAAAAATGAGCCTGGCGAGGTTGGAATTCATATTTTTTTGTAAAAAGTATGCATAGGTTTCACCGGATTGCCTTATATTATGAACACATGGCAGGTTTTGCGGTTGCTGGGAGGCCCAATTTACTTTCCAGTGTTGGAAGGCTTCCTGTACGTGGGTACATCACGCGAAGGACGTCAACTTGGGGAGTTCCTAGACATCTCCTAAATGATCCTAGAACAGGTGTTATTCGTGTACTGGACATGCGTTTCCATGGTTCTTCCATTTTGGGCGACCTTGAAACTGTTCCTAACAAATCGACAGTAAATATACCAGTTCCACCAACTATAGAAACACCGATTACCACTGGTCCCCCCAAACCGAACTCATCTTCTATAAAACCAGCTTCGAGCAATGCGCCACCTCAGTCTCCAGAAAGCAACTCTTCGAAATCTGTAATTGATTTCATTGACTTTATTCCTCAATTAGGTCGAACCTCGAAAACCGAAAAAATCATTTTGGGTTAAATTCAAAGAGGAGCTTGTTCACTACTACCATGGTTTCCGCCTTCTTGGGTTGGAGACAAGAATCGCCTCTGGTATCTGCTTTCAATTACTGACGGGGAAAACATTAACAAGACGTGAACGAAATCAGGTTTGGAATTGGCATCATCTTTATCAAAGTCCTTTTAGCTCGTAAGAACGGTCGCTGATATTACTCGACTAGTACCCTTTGCTATCTTCATAATTGTTCCATTTATGGAACTCTTGCTGCCAGTCTACCTCAAATTTTTCCCTTTTATGTTACCCAGCACTTTCAAGGAGAAGAGTAAAGAGGTTTGGTGTTTGTACTTTATTCGCTCTTTCTAAGGAAGAAAAAATGCGCCAAAAGTTAAAGGCAAAGCTAGAAATGGCACGCTTTTTGCAGGAGACTGTGATGAAGACTACAAGTAATGCCAAGAAAGGCAAGGACATTCCAACCATTGGCGAATTTCAGGAATTTTTAAAGACAGTAAGCTCTTAAACGCTTTCGCGCACCTTGTATATTTTTGTGCTCAAAAGTTTAGTGGAGTGTTTTCTTGTCGCATAGGTTCGCCAGTCGGGTCAGCTTGCTAACACCACCGACATTGTTCGTTTTTCTCGCCTGTTTGAGGACCAGGTGACGTTAGATTCATTGAGCCATGCTCAACTGAAAGCATTGTGTCAGTTATTGGAAATTAACTCCATCGGCCCGAGTAACTTTCTGCGCTTCCAGCTGTGGCTTCGCGTTCGCCAACTACGAACTGAAGACAAGGTGAGATAACTCCGCGCGTGTGTGCTCTGCTATTCGTGATGTAGACTAGATCGATTCTACACCCCCCTCCCCCTAATCGGCTGCCTGTTGTTTCTAGTTGATCGCGAAGGAAGGCGTCGACCAGATTCCTCCATGGGAACTGCAGACCCTTTCGCGTAACCGCGGAATGAGATCTCTCGGCCTGACGACTGAGCGTTTGCGTAGTCAGCTCAGTCAATGGCTTGAACTTCACTTGGAGAAAGACGTCCCAATCGCGCTGCTTCTACTTTCCAGGGCCATGTACCTACAAGACACAACTCTTCCACCGGAACAACAACTTCAGCATGTGAGTCAATTTGATTTTATTCCCTGCGTACCTTCATGCAAGTGGTTGTTGCATTGAGGTCTTCATCGTTGTCTAATATCGTGATCCGCATTTTTTTAAAGCCAGCCGTAAGGGTGATAATTTGACGGAATGCCATTCCGATTGATCGTCTGAGTTGATTCTACAGTGCAAAATCACTAGCCCGTAGCGATAAGGTCGCTTCTGGTGAAAAGTCTCGTTCAAAAGGCGTAATTGGACAGCGTAGGGATACTGGTCGATTGTCCGATTCCACGCAATCCTTTTGTTGTCGGCGCATTCCAGTCATGCGCAAGCCCTGCTTGCCTCTCGACAATGCGCGATTAAGAAACACCGAAGTTCTCGACCTTCACTTAACTCATGTTGCATCCACTCGGTCATTTTTAAATTGACTTCTAGCAACGAAGCATTGTCTGTCGCATGGTTTGTCGTCCACAGACGTTCGAAAGGTTGCTTGTCATGTGGACCTTCGCGAACTACAAGCACAGGCAACTTCAACGTTCTGATTGTTGTCAAATTCTTCCTGTTAGTGGGAGTTCTTTGCACTAACCTCCTTATTGAAGACGGTGAATGAGGCTGGCTGTCCTGTCTTTATAATATTCGATTGCTAAGGTAGGAGCTAGCGAACTCCTGCATTAGCGCTAGCCGATCGCTTACACTTTTTCCCCCCTTCTCACACTCCAGGTGATCTCCGTGCTTCCGGACTCGGCGGCAGAGGAGGCGGCGGTGAAGGCGGTCGATTCGACCGAGGACGTTGACCCGAAGACGAAGATGGAAATCCTGCGCAAGGAGCAGGAGACCATCAAAGCCGAACGCGCAGCCGCACGCAAGGAGGCGAAGGAGCTCGCGCGCAAGGCCGCCGACGCCATGAAACTAGAGACCCTCGTCGACAAGACGGAGACCCTCGAGTCGCGATCCTCTGAGGAGTGTGAGTCACCCTGTTTTTTTTACTTCACCTTGCTGCACACAGTCTACCCGTTTTAGTCCAGTTATCCGTGTTGGTAGCTGGATTTTATAAGATAAAACCAACGCAGCGGACTCGTTGAAACCCCCAATCAAATCGGTAACTCGACTTACTCTAACGTGTTTGGGCTTCAAATAGCATTGTTTGTTTATGCGCAACAACTTTCACCTCCTTACAACACACGATCTAACCTTTTTGCGATAAAGTATCCCAACCAAATCGCGAAATCGAATAGGTGTATGACTTCATTTCCACAGATTTTTCAGCAAATTTATTTAATATAAACAGATGAAAACCAACCAAGTTAATCTTTGAAATATTGTCCACCGTTTTCCGCAACCCTGCCCTCGCGAAAGAAATCTGTAGACTTCGAGGCAAACAAGTAGTCATCGACTCATTTACGCACAT